CAGTGTTGTTTCTACAGATGGAACATTTCCCAGGAGCTCTCAGTAGGTCGACAATAGGCACTTCCATTCTGACAGCCAAACTAAACCCTCTGAAATGCCAAAGCTCATTCTAATCTCAGCTTCAGAGCAGTCTCCTGCTGTTGATTTAGATGTAAAACTCCCCTTGACTTCATTGCAAGTTCTGTGTGTGCAATGGTGGCAAGATACCAGCTTCCCGCTCCTCTTTACTTGCAGCGTGGCTCCGGTGTCTTTGGTTAAATAACTACATACCCACCAGGGGGAAATACAGCTAGAGATAAATATAGCCGGTTGTTCTCCCCATTAGCAGCAGCTCTAATCAGGAAGCATAACCATTAAAAGGTTCATGGGGCCCTTGACAGGTGTTGAATCGATAATAACCCTAGCAGTTGGCTCCAGAGGTCCAATTTCTTGGTGGTAGAAGAGTTTATTAAAAGTGGGCTGTGGAATCAAATGAACTTGGTCGGAGAGAAAAGCAAAGCCAACCCAAGTAGTTGTGTCATACATAAGAACGGTCGTACTGGGTCAGACCAAAGGTCCATCTAGCCCCGTATCCGGTCTTCCGACAGTGGCTAATGCCAGGTGCCCCAGAGGGAAAAAACAGAACAGGTAATCATCAAGTGAGCCATCCCCTGTCGCCCATTCCCAGCTTCTGGCAAACAGAGGCTAGGGACACCATCCCTGCCCATCCTGGCTAATAGCCATTGATGGACCTATCCTCTGTGAACTTATCTAGTTCTTTTTTGAACCCTGTTCTAGTCTTGGCCTTCACAACATCCTCTGGTGAGGAGTTCCACAGGTTGACTGTGTGTTGTGTGAAGAAATACTTCCTTTTGCTTGTTTTAAACTTGCTGTCCAGGATGGGTAGTAGAAGTTACTTTCCTCCATTTGAGTAATAACAGAAAGAGTACTGCCTGAGGCCTCCTGTCCAACCATCTTGGCCACTGCAAAGAATCCTATAGTGCCAACCCCCAGAGAGCACCCAGCCTGAATTGTGCTGTTTTCCTCTGCAGCCTGATCATTCCAGGGGAAACGATGGTTCTTCTGAAGGAGCTGATACAGTCCTCTCAGACATAAAGGTAACAGGCCGCATCTGCTCATCCTTGCTTAGCTCCTTCCACATCCCCCACTCCACAGGAGGTAACAAGTTTCAGTTCTTGGTGAGCTCGGCCTTGCTCCTGGAAATTGCTCCACGCAGGTCATTGAAGTCAACATGGGCACGATGGCAAAGATGCACAGAGCAGCTTGCAGGCCTGGAGCCCTTGAGATGAAAGATTCCTGCTGTAGTCCCCATAGCTATTATTCTGATTCTTTATTTGTAGCATGTAGGAGCCCCAGTCATGGACCAGGACCCCACTGTGCTAGGTTCTGTAAACATGGGCAAATCACTTCACTGCTCTGGGCCTCAGTTTTCCCATCTGTAAAATGGGGATAAAGATACCTCTTTTATAAAGCACTTTGAGATCTACTGATGAGAAGGGCTAAATAAGAGCTGGGTATTCATATACAATTATTAATATATTAACAAACAGACAGTCCCCGCCCTGAAGTTTACAATCTAACCTAATCTATCAAGTCCCTTATCTTTTAAATTATGTCATTGTAGCAAGCACAATTAGTATTCACTGTAGTTAAACTGTATAGCTTCTGAGTGGTAGCCGTGTTAGTCTATATCAGCAAAAACAATGAGAAGTCCTTGTGGCACCTTAGAGACTAACAAATGTATTTGGGCAAAAGCTTTTGTGGGTTAGAACCCACTTCATCGGATGCATGGAGTGCAAATACAGGAGCAGGTATAAATACATGAAAGGATGGGGGGTTGCTTTACCAAGTGTGAGGTCAGTCTAACAAGTTAATTAACAGCAGGATACCAAGGGAGGAAAAATAACTTTTGAAGTGGTAACAGAGTGGAACCATTTCAGACAGTTGACAAGAAGGTGTGAGTAACAGTAGGGAGAAATTAGTATTGGGGAAATTAAGTTTAGGTTTTGTAATGACCCAACCACTCCCAGTCTGTACTCAGGCCTAATCTGATGGTATCCAGTTTGCAAATTAATTCCAGTTCTGCAGCTTCATGTTGGAGTCTGTTTTTGAAGTTTTTTTGTTGAAGAATTGCCACTTTGAGGTCTGTTATTGAGTGACCAGAGAGATTGAAGTGTTCTCCTACTGGTTTTTGAATGTTATGATTCCTGATGTCAGATTTGTGTCCATTTATTCTTTTGCGTAGAGACTGTCTGGTTTGGCCAATGTACATGGCAGAGGGGCGTTGCTGGCACATGATGGCATATATCACATTGGTAGATGTGCAGGTGAATGAGCCCCGATGGTGTGGCTGATGTGGTTAGGTCCTATAACTTAAAAAACTTCAACTTTGATGAAGTGGGTTCTAGCCCACGAAAGCTTATGCCCAAATAAATTTGTTAGTCTCTAAGGTGCCACAAGGACTCCTCGTTGTATAGCTTCTGTTTATCACCCTCTTTTCACATCCTTGTAACTTTCCAAAATTTTCATTTTTGGGGCTGAAACTTTCCTCTCTTGGTAAAACCTTCCAGGTAGGAAAGTGGGTATTTTTTCCCCTAGAGCTTTTCAGCAAATTCCTTTGGGTTATCTGGAGTTTGACAAAGTGATGGGGGTTGGGAGAAGGAACCAAACCACTGCTTTAAAAAACATTCTTGCAGATATCATAAAATCCACCATCCTAAAGGGCTTGCTAATTACCGTTCAGTGTGGTGCTCCGGAGATGTCTGGGCCGAAGCTAGGGGATGAGCCTGCTACAGCTTTGGCTAATAGAGCTGGCTCTTTTAGCAGTACAGGTTCATGGTTTAGGATCCAGAGGTCACAGGTTCTGTACCTGCTGCTGAAGACCTACCTGGGCTCCAGGCAAGTGGTATGTCTGTTGCATGACTAGGAATGGGTAAGACCAATGGGGCTCATTGATGTGGGAAATTGCCACAGTTGAGCTGCAGTGGTGGAGATGGACATGCAATTCTCTTACCACATAGCTTCTTCTTTCATAAACCCCTCTTATGACGGAACGACTGGTGCCAGGAAAACACTGCGAAACTCAAGCCACACAGGAAGTGTCCAATCCCTTTGGGTCTGGTGCTTGTTCACATGGACAACGTTCAAATTTGTCTTGCACCAACAGGCTGGTCAGTCAGTTATTAGGTGCACGAGGACCCGTGACCATAATCTCTACCATTCACCAGTGGTTCCCCAGTCTCATCTTTCCCATTTCCAAGAACTCCCCCACTTCAACTTTCTGTGCTGTCCATCCCCAAGTGGCTCTGCCTTTTTGTCCCCTTCTGAGATGTGCAAGGATCATGAGCTGGTAATAAACTCAGAGGTACAAAAGAACCATAAAATATCAGGCTTGGAAGGGACCTAAGGAGGTCATTTAGTCTAACCCCCTGCTCAAAGCAGGGCCAATCCCCAATTTTTGCCCCAGATCCCTAAATGGCCCCCTCAAGGACTGAACTCACAACCCTAGGTTTAGCAGGCCAATGCTCAAACCACTGAGCTATCCCTCCCCCCCAGGTTAACTAATTAAATTAAAGCCAGTTAACTAATTAAATTAAAGCAAGAACTAGTGGGAAGCTGGGAGAAATACTATTATTTTGCTTTTTACTTCACTTCATTTTATTTTGGGGGGATGCGAAGAGCTAATGCATTGATTTGATCAGTTTGGTTCCCAGTGAATTATTCAGTTATTATTATTTATTTAGGCGTATTGCAGCGATGCTTAGGAGCCCAGTCATGGCCCATTGTGCTAGGTTCTGTACCAACACAGAATAAAACCAGAGGCCCTGCTCCAAAGAGTTTGCAATTTATTCAGGGTAAAATCCCCTCCTGTGAAGAGGGCTTGACTGGAACAAAGTGCTGTCCACTGTTCGTGTGTTGGCCATCTGCATGGGGTCAATTTCATCCACACTTCCTGTGACAAATCACTTTCAAAACATTGTAAATAGCCGACAGAAACCACTGTGGGGCTTGGTCCCAATATTTTGATGCTACCGTTCTTTTTCTCTGAGGCCTGATATTTCTATCACGATGGGTTAGATTCTGATTTCCTTCGTCATGTCGAGTAGCACCTTATTCCATGGAGAGTCTCATTAAAGTCAGTGAGTGATGTACATGCATCCCAGGTGAAAGTAACCGGTCTTATTTGCTTCATAACATGCAGTTATGTCTGAGAGGAAGAATGAGCTTGTGGTTAAAACACACGGGTGGGAGTTTAAAAAATGGGGTCCTCGTCCACAGACAAAGACCTACGATCCACTGGGGTTGAGTTTATTTAATCGTGAATCACTCAATTCCTTTGTTTTCATGTTCTGGTGGTTCATGGTGCGTGAGAGCGGCGTGGGGAGTAATGTCTGGCAACGTCTAATTTTCTCACTTTCAAAATGCAGGAGCAGATAATTGGGTGCAATTAATATGGAGGAACTCCTACAAGTATTGAGTGTTTACTGCTAGGGAAGGTGACCCTTAGCACAGTTCCTACCTTATACATCTCACACGTACTCTGCCAGAACATCCCAAAACACAAGCTTTGCAAGCATCTGTGAGTTGCAGATTAAGCCATTCCCATCTGGCCTTTCGTCTCTTGGTGCTGCCTTTGGCCATTAATGTTCCAGTGATTTCAGGGGTCCACTGAGCACCACATCAGGTGTGCTGTACCTAGACTCAGCTAGTGCACAGAGCATCACTGCAGTGGTGTGTTACCTAGACATGGTTGGTACATGTAATAGCCCAAAAGGTAGGTGCATTCTTCCTGGACGTACCTGGTATCCTCAGCAACGCCACCGGTGAATTCTACATGGACGCACCTGGACAGTTCAATGACAGTCCGACAATTAACACTGGCAATTGAAACGTGTGGGCTTTTTTGAAGTAGCAGTAAACCTATGGCACGGTGTGAAATTAAATAATAATCCAACTTACGCATCTGGGTGCTTTAAGGGATGCTGTTTTCCTTCAAGCAGGAAAATGCAGATCCAGTTGACGGCCCGGAGTTAACAAGCCGTGTTAGAGTCAGAAGAACGGCTGAGCGACAGAGGCACATGGTAAAGCCCCCTGTTCCCGCCACCTCGGTCCGTTTTGCCTGAACGCAAAGCAATCAACACTGCTTGGAGGGAAGCGGTGATAACTCCTTGTTGTCCCTATACAGGCTCACTCACCTGGTCCCACTGGAGTTCAGAAGTCCCCGGCTGGATATGTGGTAAGCGATGGCTGAATATCTGGAGTGTTTGCAGAGATCGTGCGTATGAGATAGACACGGGGGGTAACCGCCCTTGCTGCTTTCTCGCTCATTAACAATAGTAATACCCCTAGGGTGAGGGTGAAACGCTCCCTGTAAATAACGAACAAGCAGCCGCCAAGCCAGTGTCCTTTGGTATGGCTAAGTGCTCCTCCCAAGAGAGATGGGGAAGGGAAGGGTATGATGCTTAAAGAACACAAGAGGAAAAGAGAAACCAACGTTAATCACTGCTGGAACACAATGACCAGCTTTGGGGAGGTTTTGCGTGTGCAACAGATATATCTATAAAATGTATATATACACCCCCCCCCAATTATACACAGTTGTTTTATTGTGGTTACGTCTGTCAGATTGGACATGTGAAACACTCTAAACAGTTCTTCAGCATTAGAGCAGGGCAAAAATCGGGAGCGGCAGAAGGTCCCTAAAAGTGGGGGGGCCACTGGTGCCCGAACTGTGCCCCCCCTGCTGCCCCTTCCCTCTGAGGCCCCACCCCTGTACCACTCCTTCTCCCAAGGCCCCGCGCCTACCCCACCCTTTTCCACAAGCCCCTGCCCTCACACCGCACCTTCCCTCGAGGCCCCACTCCCACTCCACCTCTTCCCTGCCAAGACCTGACCCGTGCTCGCTCCTCTCCACCCCCTACCCCATCGCTCCCTTATGGCTGATAAAAAGTGTGTGTGGGGGGGGCATGGCCCCCTGCCGCCCCGTTCCAGCGCCTTGGCTGGAACTCTCACTATTTCTACCTTTGGTTTCATCCCAGATTGGGACAAAGAGTTTGGATATCCAAATTTGTAGTGGAAAAAAATGTGTTATTTGGAAAATGTCAAAATGATTCACTTTGAGTTGGTTCAATGTTAGACAGCATCTTCTTATGGTGCCGCAGTGCTTCATGGGAGTTGTAGTTTGGATGCCACATGCCCTTATTCTCCTTTATTGGCTGGGCTGCCTGGCCAAACTACATCACCCATGATGGACCTCAGTCATGTGACTCTCACAATGCACCATGCAGCTCAGTCAGAGGGAACCTGCGCTGTCGGAAAAATTTCTCTCTGATGATTTCTGACCTGCTCGCTTGCCAAAACATGGGCCCCAGTAGAATGCTTGATGAAAACTTTAAAGGGACAGGTCACATTTGGCCTGAAAAGTCGGTTTGGTAAAAACTTTTACAGAACTTAAGACTGATATAAATGTTCCCATGATTTTTTTTAAAAAAAAATCTTAGTGGAAATTGATTATTTTAAACAAGAAAGGTTTCCCCTACTATGGCCCTGGTTCTGCAGCTCGTCTGGTGGAGGGTCCTCTCAGACTGCATGAATAGGAGCACTATTTTTTGTTAAGGAGGAGCAAGATACTGTGATGAACCTATTGCCATCCCTATGAGGGCAGAGTTAAGATGACACAGTTGTGTGTGAAGGAGCATCTTAACTGGGCATTTCCTGCTTTATGTACGTTCCTTGTTGGGATTTTGTCTTGCAATGCCAACATTCTTTATGGGGAGAGGTGTGGAGACCTCAACTGAGCATTTACTACCTTTCTAACCATTGGGTTTGGGGCTCTGAAATCTTTTATTCCTCAAGTGCATGAGGAGCAGAAGCCACCTGAACTCCAGATAACCAGGTTTGTTGTGAGTCTATCCTAAAGTTTCACTTGTTTTCCTTTTCATTGCACTTGATCACACTGAAAAATCAGACAATAGGCTACATTCTGCTCTCGGTTCCCACAGCCTAATTTTGGAACAGCTCCAATGAAATCCTTTTTGTGTCATTTGCCCCTATGTTCAATTGGATAAGGCTGCTGCTAAGTGACCCCAGATAAGTGTTCACTGATTCCTGCTAAGATGTAACCTGTCCACTACATGCACCCAGTTCACCACGGTTGGCATCGGGATGCAGTAAGAATGAATTGTTGCATTGATCGTGAGAGGTATAACGTGCCTCCATGTTCAAATAGTTCTTTTCCACGTCTTATGGATGAAATATCTCTGAAGTACGAAATATTAGCATGCAATCATATGCTCTCCTCCCAAAACCCCCTCTTCTTTTTTATTAAATTCAAGACCTATCCAGGACCTCAAGGCGCAAGGAGGATCAAGGTGATATATTTATTTTATAGAGCTGTTACTACAGCCCCGTGCGTGTTAGATGCAGCTGGTTCTTCATCATTCTATCCATAATCTCCTCTTCGATTGTGTGTGTCTGGGGGGGGGCTCTATTTTCTTTTTGCAGAAGCAGGAGTCAGACACGGTGGATCCAGAACAGGTGCCGTTCCAAGGTCAAAAGGTCTGAGTTTTTCTTTAATGTTTTAACAAAACAAACAAACAAACACCCCACCCCCACAGAATTGGAGCTCCGTTGTAAAGCTGAGTGGAAAAGCCTTTACTTAAAGACAAATTAAATCCTTTAAGAGCCCAAATAATCATCAGCCTATTGGGCCTGACTCCCCATGGCCCTATGTCTTGTAAAGCCATTTACACTGGAGCAAAGTGGGGTGTCGGCTCTTTTTGCTATTTATTATTTGTATTTTGGTACCATCTAAAAGCCTCAGCTGAGATCAAGGGCCTCTTGTGCAAGGTGCTGTACATGCATATGAAGAGTTTCAAGTCTCAATACATCATACAGAGAAAAGTGGGAGAAAGGAGGTAGTATTATCCCCATTTTACAGATGGGCAGCTGAGGTGCAGGAAGTTCAAAGTGTATGGCTACACTGCACACTAAGCCCAGGCTTTGACTCAGGTTTGAGCCCAAGCCCTGCTTCCGTCCACACACAAATCAGTCTGACTTGGGTCAACCAGCACTCAGGACCTGGGTTCTGTGACTTGGCTCCAAGCCCTGTTATTTTGCACTGTGGATGCCGATCTGAGCCAGAAGATCTGTGTAGTGCAGTCTGGATGTGTCAGCATGGCTATGAGATCCAGGTGCAGCAGTAGTAATGGTGCAGCAGTGGGGATGCCCAGGCATAGGCTTGGAAACACCAAGTGCACAAACTCAGCTCCCACAGACCCGGGTTTACAATGTAGGGTAGACATAACCTCGGCTGGCCCAGGGTCACTGTGGCAGGTGAGGGGATGCAGCGGTGCCTCATTTGTTAGTGTTGCTCTCCATGTTTGCAGGAGAAACCCAAATGCAGATCCTAGCAGGTGAAAATCATCACTGGAGCTTAGCTCGCGATGATGCCATCACAAGGAGCACCAGCCCTCATGCAAATTACAGCCCTGCCTGGGGGAAACGCCCTCTGATTGGCCGCCTCCCCCACTTCCCTGCCCTCTGGGGAAGAGCAGCCAGTGAGGGCTGCTGCACGAAGCAGGCAGAGCTCTCGCGCTGCCCCTCAGGAGACGTAGCCCGGCCTATGGAAGAGGCCCCTAAACTACAGCTCCCATGAGGCACTGTGGCAACATTTCCAAATAGTTCCAGTTTTCAGCCAGTGTTTTTCGGCCTCAAATTTCCACCAAATAATCAAAAATTTCCTTGGAAATTTCAGACGAGAAGGGATTTGGGGTTTTTTGGTTGAAATTTTCTTCACGGGGGGAAATAAATCACATTTCACCCAGTTCTACCCTATAGGCCCCTCTCCCTGTGTTAGAATAACAGCCAATCTCCCTTGTTCCCACCCACACCACAACGAACGTACCTCTGCCCCCTCCATCATCTCTCTACTCTAACTCTGTGTATTTCCATTGTGCCCATCACTGTGGTATCTCGGCATCAACTTGACAGATTCAGGGCTCTGGTCAATCACTGAGGTTAGCACAAAGGAGTGAACAGCAGCTTTTTGATTTATAGGGAGAAAAGGGATCTCCCGGAGCCAGAGGAGACAAAGGAGAAAAGGTACCTTTCGATTGTTTTGTGTGTTGAAGCAATTTTTGACACAGGGAGTGACTCCCTGGCTCCCTAAGGGGCTGACCTGGCTATCCATTGCCAGCCGCCTACTAACTGAAGCCCTAGGTGGATCTGGAGTCCGGGAGATTTAAATGGGGCCCCAATTGCTACGAGAGTGGTCTGTGTCGGCACATACGTAATTCGTTAAAGATCAAGTGCCAATAGATAGTGCCCAAGAATACATCTGCCCTTTCTCTTGCAGACCTGAGTTCCCTACTGCCTTGGGCCTTCTGTTTGTGCAAAACGGGGGTGCAGTGCTACCAGCTCGGAATGGGGAGCGTCTCACAGCCTCTTTGCACGGGTGGAAAGGACGGTGGAAGGTGCAAGGCAGTGGGACGTGGGCCCAGTCTGTCCGGCTCAGCAGCAGACCTCAAGCAGGATGCCCTGAGGTTGTTGCTGTGCTGATCCAGGAGCTCGTAGCAATGCATTGTACTAGGGGATGTGGCCTTTTTTGTTTCACAGATTGCTCTAGACGAGGGGTGGGCAAACTTTTTGGCCCGAGGGCCACATCGGGGAATAGAAATTGTATGGTGGGCCATGAATGCTCACAAAATTGGGGTTGGGGTGTGGCAGGGGGTGCAGGCTCTGGGGTGGGGCTGGGGATGAGGAGTTTGGAGTGTAGGAGGGTGCTTTGGGCTGGGACTGAGGGATTCGGAGGGAGGGAGGAGGATCAGGGCTGGGGCAAGGGTGCGGGAAGGCATGCAGGTTCCGGCTGGGGGTGCGGGCTCTGGGGTGGGGCTGGGGATGAGAGGTTTGGGGTGCAGGGGAGTGTTCCGGGCTGGGATTGAGGGGTTTGGAGAGTGGGAGGGGGATCAGGGCTGGGGCAGGGGGTTGGAGCATGGGGAGAGGCTCAGGGGGTGCAGGTTCTGAGTGGCGTTTACCTCAAGCAGCTCCCGGAAGCAGTGGTATGTCCCTTCTCTGGCTCCTACACGGAGGCGCGGCCAGGCGGCTCTGCACGCTGCCCCATCTGCAGGCACCGCTTCTGCAGCTCCCATTGGAGCGCTGGAGGGGGCCATTGGAGCGCGTAGGCACCGGAGCAGGGCCATGCCAGCTTCTGGGAGCCGTGTGGTACGGCCCCTGACCCTGTGCCACGGCCAGAGCGCCAGAGAGGGGCTGAGCCAAGTGGTGCAGCCCGCAGGCCGTCGTTTGCCCACCCCTGCTATAGAGAAATAAACAAGGTGGAAATATTCAAATGTTTCAGGATGTGAAGGAGAGGGGAACGTGCTTCTCAGTCAGGGCAGGGAAGCAGCACAAAGAGTCTTGCAGCAATCTCACTGCAGACCAGGAGAGACGATGGGCTGGTGTGAACCCAGGGTGAAGAGCGGGAGGTACATGGGATCATACAACAGTTCCCACCAACTGTCGGTGAAAGACCGTGCTAGACAGGGCTTTTAAGCCACGTGTCCAGCATCTAGGGCCACTGAAGTGGATTGCACTGAGTCTATGCCATGCCATTTGTATCCAGTGAGTGGGCTGATGCATAAACCAGGATGGGAATGCCACGACACGGCCAGCAATCATGAGATTGCTAAAAGTTTGGTGGCGCAATAAGGTCGCCAGTGAGCATAGACTGAACGTCTAGCTAGACCCCCTTAAGGACCTAGTTAGGGATCGACCTGGTTGGCATTCAGTCCTCAAGGAGGCTGCATGCCTTTGGGATAATGATGATCGGAAAGCTGGCTGGGCCACCAGTTCTACATATTCTGCAGTAAGTGCAGTCGAAGGCATGTCGCTGTAAAAGTGTCTTGGGAGCGAGGAGGGAAGAAACTGCAAGAATCAGAATGGTTTGCTCGAGGGGTTGCATCATTAAATGGTCACACTGCAGAGCTGCCTGTGATGTGCATGCTCTGTAGTGAGGGAGATGAGGAAGGACTGAGCATCTGTAAGAGGTGATGTTGTCTTCTTGCCAGGGGAGATGGGGGAGCCGGGAGAGAACTTGAGCTGCAAAGTCTGGATCTGGATCCAGATCAGAAGTTTCTTATGGTCTGACTGCTGGGATCCAGCCTGTGGGTTTTGCCGATAGGAAAGATAAAAACTCAGGTCCAAATTCCCCCAGTGTTTGGGTCATTCAGACCCTCTTTAGTTCAGGCCTAGCTCTAGTACTGACCAGATCCACAGTGAATTCGGAAGAGCAGGCTGCTGGCCTAACGTTGTTTGTTCCTGGTGCTTAAGAGTTCCTTTGAAGCTGCTTCCTACAGACAAGAGCTCCTGGATTTTAACCCCCAAAGCAGTGATTCTGTCCCTAAAAACCACTCGTTCATATCTGCCTAGGACCTGCTGGTGATTCCAGGGGTAAGTCTGGAGGGAAGATCTATGGCTTATCTGTATACACTTAGGATCATGCAGCTAGTGCTCTCCGTCCCTTTTCCCCCACGACCATGCTTCCTGTGCCCTCGTGGTGAGTGGAAGCAGCGGTTTCTAGCCCATAGTTATGACCAGTCAAAGATTCTCTGCGCCCCTTGCAGATTACACAGAAATCTCTGACCTGGTTCCTGATCCCCTGCAGGGCATATTTCTCCCAGCCCTCTTCCCCAGCCATGATCACGGGCTCTGTAACTTTCTCTTCATTCCTAGGGCACTAAAGGAGACAGAGGAGAAAATGGTCAAAAGGTAAGAAGCGACTTTGGCACCATACTCAAGGACTCTCCTAGGATTAGGGTTAGGTTGCTGTTCTTACATCATTAGAATTCATGTGTGCTGTCCCTTCCTGGCTCTTCTCTGTACACAAAAGGGCTTTGTTCAGTAATGCTGCGTTTTTAGATCTAATCACTGTAGATGATCAGCTGCTGCCTGCCGCTGTCTCTTGTGTTTTCTCCAGCATTGAGCTGTTCAGCTTCTCTCTGTAGTTCTCTCCCTCCGGGAGTGGGCCATATAACTCTCCTCCCTCAATGGCGGATGAAGCAGCCTTAGATCCATCTATCTGTCAAGCATCTTGGGTGGGTTCTGTAGCTCCTGTCCCTGGAGTATTGACTTCAGCAGGAGTTGGATTGGGCCTGAAGTGAGCAGCACGTAGTGATGTGTCCAGTATGATTTTGACAGGCCCACGATGGAGGACGTGGTGTGTTTCTGATTGTTCTTGATCTCCTCCCCTTGTCTCTTTTTACAGGGAGAACCAGGAATTGGGTTCAGAGGCCCCGCTGGTCAGGCTGGGCCCCCTGGGCATAAGGTAAGCATATAGGATCTCACTTTGTCTGCACATCATCCAACATGCTCTCTCTTTGTGCCCCTTGCTGATAGCACAACTACCATGCAGGCAGGCACCAAGGGTCCGTGGGGCTCACTGGGGCTTGCAAAGATGCGCTACCGAAGCCAGTCGAGGCTCTGGAGGGCAAGACCACCCATGTGTTCCAAACGCACAGCTCCAGGGAGCTGTCTCCTGCACGGCACCGTTTCACACCAGACCTTTCCTTTGGGGTGGGCAGATGCAGGGTCATTTTACCATTGCCAGAGCGCGATGCTGAAGAATCGGGGCGAAGCCTATTAGCCAGCCTGCACTTGTGAGATTCCAGGACTGACATAAAGGGGGCACTGCAGGCATGTCAGGATTTGGGGGCATTGGTGGAGCCATTTTGTTTCTGGAATAATAGAGGTGAGCTCGCAGGTCAGCGTTAAGATGCTCTGGCAGAGCTGTGTGGAGCATCGGGGCTGCAGTGGCTGGGAGGGTGGGGTGCTGCTGCAGGGCAGAGGTGGGAGTGTGAGGTGTGTGGGAGCCGAGGACTGGGGCGGTGGGGGGTGTTGCAGGTCTCACGAGGGCAGCAGTGCACAGAGAGGTGCCTGTCAGCCCTGTGCCTGGCTCAAGCCAGTGTCATTAGGCCCTTCCTTGCACTCAGTGGACTCGCCAGTTAAATCTGGAAGGAGCAGTAGATGACAAGGGAGCTGAGAACCCCTTGCGAGTAGCCTGCTGGTCATGGCTACAATAAGATGTGTTACTGGGGAGTCCACTGTTCGCATTGTGACTACAGCCACACGATTGCTTTGCAACAGGGGGAGCCCGGGGCCCCGGGACCTCCGGGAGTGCAGGGCATCCAGGGTATTCGTGGCAACCCTGGCATTCCAGGATCGCCGGGAGAGAGAGGCGCCCCGGGTCCACCTGGCATGCCAGGGCAGAAGGTAGGTGACGTGTCCTGGGCACTAGAGAGCGAGTGTGGTGGTGGGGGCGAGAGAGGACTGCATTGTACCCACAATCGCAAGGCACGAGGGTGCGAACAGATGCTGAGGCTCTGTGAGAAGACGTGTGGTGGGAGGGACCTCACATAACGTGGGACAACCAGTCCCAAGGGCCCCTACCGTTCCCCCATAGCCAGCTGAAATCGTGCCTGGGAGATTCAGGAGGCAGAGCTGTTCTCGGCACACGTCCTGCTGCCGGAGCACAAAGCCCTTCCTCCCCGGGAAATGGCTGTGTCACCCTGACACAGGCTGGATTCCAGGCTAACCAGACTCAGTGTTACAAGCACAGCAGTTTCAGTGCGGTGAGCAAGCTGTCGTGTTGTGAGCGAACAACAGCGTGATGCACGGGGACAGTTTACCCTTGCCAGGCGCTGCTGGGATTGGGATGTTCCTTTGCTCGGCTGTTCCATGCGACACCGAGAGCAGTCCCCGGCGTTGAATCGTTAGGGCGCTTGGAAGCTGCTGTCTGTAATGTTAGACCGCGTCAGCCAGTCCAGCCCAGGAAAAACAAACAGTAGCCCCCTCCCAAGCAGTGCCTCCCTTGCATGATGCCCAATCACTGTTCCCACCTGCCCTCCAGCAGTGGTTCACTCTTTCCCCCTCTTCCCCATGTTTATTAACTCTCTGAGGCTGTGAAGCCACAGGGGACCATCGAAGCTGACCCCCTGTGTGACACAGGCTGGAGAACCTCACCCTCGAGATTCCAGCATCAAGCCCAGACCTGGTCTGTGAGCTAGAGCACCTTGTCTCTGTCAGCTTGTGCAGATGGTAGCACCCTGGAGAATCTCAAATGACCTACTCAACAGTCGAACCCAGGGATGGTCAGACTGCATCAGACCCACGCTCCACCTAGCTCAGTAGCCTATCTCTGACATTGCCCAAACAAGCTTTCTCCCTTGGATGGATCTCCAGATCTGTCTACAGAGCCAGCCACCCTCTGGGCCCAAAGGGATTTTGTTTTTAATTCCTACAAACGCCCAGAGTTGCTCAGTGTGATCTGGGGAGGTGGAGGCCATTCCTCTGCCACCCCCTCTATTAACCCAACCCCCTGCCCAGTTGCCTTATGACCATTGTAAGATTCTTCTACTGTCTAGGCCATTTACTGCCCAGGTCCCTCTTGCTGGCCGTCTATGGGGAAACTGTAGGGGGGGACCCACCCCTCTGAGGGGCGGCCCCTTTGAGTACATTTGGGGGCAAAGAGCAACTTGCCATCAAAGTTATCTCCCTCTTAATGGTTTTTCTGTTCAAAGGGGGAACGTGGTAAGAGAGGCAGGAATGGATCCACTGGGCCAGCAGGACCTCCCGGGCCCCCGGGAAAACAGGTGACCTTTGGTTATTTTTCACTGTTGCATTCTTTGAATGAGCTACGTGTACCCGTGTTATTGTATATTATGTGCGTTCCCCAGTCATGGACCAGGCTCCCGTCGGGCTAGGTGCTGTACAAACACAGATCCTTCGTGCACAGACCCCAGACTGTGAGGGGGTGTCCTACACAGGGGCTGGGATGGGACGGTGCCTGGATCCTTCCACATGCAGATTTGGCCTCGGGTCAGGAGTGAGGCCCAAGGGCAGAGGGATCACGACAGGGAAGTTGGTGCTGCTGGCACCCAGGCTGTATCTGTCCCATGGAGGGAGGGCAGGCTTTGTTCTCTGGCTCTCAGCCCAGTTCTTTTCACCCGCACTGAATTCCTTTTACTGGGTGTATTACAACCTGCCTGCCGCTCGCCGGCTCCGCTCCTTGGGGCACGGTGCATCAGAGGTGTTGCAAACCAAGTGTGTGTCTCCTTGGTCCACAGGGGATTCGAGGGCTGCCCGGGACCAATGGCAACAAGGTGAGCTGTGGATGGCGGGAAAGACAAAGACGACGCCAGTATGAATCCCAAAATGGTAGCCTCAGCCCAAAGCTCTGGGCAGGGATGGAGGGGTGGGAATTGCACTCTGAGGAGGACTGAAAGGAAACACAGTGACTTCTCGCTGCCTCCTGTCTCACCCCAAACAGCTGGAAGCCATGCCTGACCCCATCCACATCCCCACCTGCTGAGGGTAGCCTGGTGACTAGAAAGTCTGTTCAAAAGGGGACCTGTACAGTGTCTGGTCAGATGCACTGACCGGACACCAAAAGTCCAGTTACCGCAGGCAGGAGCAGGGAGAGGCACCGAGTCATCAACCCACACCAGCCCCTGCTCAGCCAGGGCCTCATGGGCCAACAGGCTCCGTGTCAGGGGCTGCAGCTCCCGTCCCAGCCCTGGAGCAGAGCGAGCCCAGCTGTGTCCTCATGCTGTCTGCGCTTGCCCATTTGTACCGGGGGCATATCCCACGCTTCTTTGTGCTGTGATGCTCTAGGATTCTTTCCTGGTCAATTGCAGAAGAACTTCTCTGTCCTTCAGGGGAAACTGTGGCAAGGGACTGTCACCACTCAAGTGGTTTAGCCTGTGTCCTCGCGTCAAAGTGGGCGAGTTCCAGCCCGAGTTCCAACTGGGGAAGGTGGCCCTGGCTTAAGCCTCCTCCAAACCCAGATCCGAGGTTTCTCTGTGCGGACTGTAGGGGTGTGTGTGGTTAACAGTGGATAAGAGCCTGGGTTAACTATGCAGTGTAGACGTGCCCTTTGATGTTGCCCTCTTAAATAGTGGGCCCCGCCGGGCAGGGGCTGTGATTTGTCACCTACCTGTGAGGCAGATCTCCTGCTGTTGGCACTAAAGCAATAACAGGGGGATCAGCGTGGTTTGGGCCCGGCCGTTGTGGGCTCTGCAATACAAGGGATTGAGCCCACACCCGCTGGAATTAATGGCAAAACGCCCATTGATTTCCGGGGGCTTTGCCTCCTGCCCGACATAATAATAGAGGGCTCTGGCACAGAGAGGAGAAATGTGCAGCTGTGTCCCTGAAACGACCCCTTTGTGTTCCTTTCTGTTGTGCAGGGGGAGATCGGCCTCGGCGTGGCAGGTGCGAGAGGTCCCCGTGGACTGCCTGGCCCCGGGGTAGGTCGTTCCATTATCATGCCAGGCTCCATTCGGTTCTCTCATTGCAGTGTCTGTCTGAACATGCTAAAGGTGTTATCATGCAATGATCACTCATATCAAAAGCCCCTTCAGGTGCTGACCCCGAATCCCCTTGAATTTTTACTGAGACCAAATCTGGCCATGCTCAGAGGCGACGGGCTCTGTCCGCTCCATAGCACACACCTGTGCCTCTGTGGAGTTGGCATGAAGCTAATGCTCCCTCCCACCACGACTGATCTGCCCCACAGGTGATTCTCCCATGCTGCAAATGAGGCGTCATGGGAATTACACTGACTGGTTAGGTCTCTCTCTGAGCCACCAGACCAGGGTCTCCTGTCCTGCCCCTATGCACTCAGCCACCCCACCCTGCCCCCCAGTGGCACAGGTGGAAGCCACACCTCAGTAAGTGAACGTAAGGGGGGCTGAGGGCCTGATGCTGATCTCACGGAGGGTATGACTCTGCAGAGCAAAAGCCAAGCACAGGCTACCCTACCCCTGAGCTACCTTCAAGCCAAGCTAGTGGGGTAAAAGCAACAGTGAAGACAGAGCAGCTCGGGCAGTATAAGCCTGGCATAGACCCTGGGTACGTTCTTGGCTTGCTAGCCCACACTTCACTGCTAACATTACCTGCATTCAGGCTAGCTCAGGTAGGCTAGCCTGGTGCACAGCTCCTGCTGTGTAGACCTACGCTTACACTCACGTAGCTCCATTGCCTTCTGTGGGTTTACTCCTCATCTCCACTGCTCTAAACATGCGGCTGTCCAGCCAGCCTGGCCTCCCAGATCTTTCTGTTCATTTAAAATTAATTAAAATAATTAAGCATGAATTCCCCTCTGCCCTAGGAATAAAATGTACGCAAAGTTTAACAAACGAACGTACGTGTCTGTAAAGTGCCGACCATGAAGAGGCCCGATCCTGGAGGGGGGCCTGTAGGTACTAGTGTCGTATAAATAATTACTGATAAAAAATAAACATCTTATTGGTACATTTGAATAGTGAGAGCTGAGCTGCTTAGGCAAAGTAACACCCCCCCAGAGTGCAGTACCGGGGCGGGATGCAAACCCTCATGCAGCTAGATCAGAGAAGACATCTTTATATGCTGCTTCCTCTGTGGCTGTTCTATGAATAAACTGACTTTATCATGTAAGACGTTTATACAAACCCACCAGCTGCCAGGAGAGCTGTTCAAATAGGCACCTGCGAAGCGCCTGAGAATGTCAACAACTGTGTAAGGTCTAGTGTAAATCTTGCTAAGGGTTTTTTTTTTTTTTTGAGTGTGGGCGGGGAGGAGGTAATGAAACAATGAGGAGCTAATTCTGCTTCTAGTACTGTTGTGTAAATCTGGAGTGAATCACTGGATTCTCTGGCATGACGTTGGGTTTACACTAGTGTAACTGAGATGAGAACCTGGCTTCCTGGGGTGTACTTAGGTCTGTATAAATGTTTGGCACTTGCCGTCAGACAAATCTTCCAGGATTTAGCTTGTAAGGCCAAAATGTACTCGATGAATTAGCCGGCAAGGCTATAGTGCATATGAAGATTTCTGAAGGGTTAATACATGAGTAATAGGTGGTGTAAGCAGGTTAGAGATATGGGGCGTGTGTTATAGATGGGTATAGGCACATGGGTTACACTTCATAGGAAGGCTCCATGTACACACATTTTGTAAAGGGATAGGAAAATAACAGGCAAACAATTGCTATCCACAAATGTAAAGGGGACAGAGCAATGATGTGCATTCCAGGCCAAATTCTGGGCTGCCTTATTTACGGTACCTGGTCTCCTTGAAGTTCATGCAGACAGAACTTGCCCCTTTGCTTGCACAGAATGACGCAATAGAAACGCATCTGACCCCTTCTCAGGGAGCTGAGAAGATCGTTCCCTACCCCCAACCTTTTCTGTCGGTCGTCCGCTAGGCCCTACCCCACCAGGCAGGGACTGTCTTGCCTCCCGGTGCCTACGCACGCACCGAACAGCTGTAAGCGCAGCTTTGCGATGACTTTGAAGCTGGCCAGGTTGCCGTTCTCCACTTACAGCAGGGGAACTGGGCACTATGGGCCTCTATGCACAGGTCATCCATTGACTTCAGTGGGAGCACCACGCACCCAGGGCTCGCAGGATGGGGCTTGTGTGTATTATCCATGCTTCGTTGATTGTAGACACAGTAATGAAACTAAATCTCTCTTTGCTAACAGGGGGAGGAGGGCATTGCAGGAGTCCGAGGCCCCATTGGCATGATGGTAAGTCAGTAAGAACTAAAGGCCAAAGGGTGGTGAAACACTGGAATGCGTTGCCTAGGGAGGTGGTGGAATCTCCTTCCTTAGAAGTTTTTAAGGTCAGGCTTGACAAAGCCCTGGCTGGGATGATTTAATTGGGGATGGGTCCTGCTTTTGAGCAGGGGGTTGGACTAGATGACCTACTGAGGTCCCTTCCAACCCTGATATTCTATGATTCTATGATTCTAAAAGAACGGCCTTAGAGGGTCAGACCAGTGGTCCCTCTAGCCCAGTATCCCGTCTTCTGACAGTGGCCGGTGCCAGATGCTTCAGAGGGAGTGAACAGAACAGGGCAGTTATCGAGTGATCCAGCCCCTGAAGTGTATGAGGATGGTTTTGTGGCACCAGGCCCAAGACTGGCTGGCGAGAAGCCCTAGCTGTGGATGCTGCTATAGGATGAGGTTTTCAAAGCCACATAGGGATGGGTGCCCACTTCCCACTGATTTTAATGGGAGTTGAGTGTCGAGATCCTATAGGTGGATTTGAAAACATGGGCCACAACACTGAGTGTAACTGATTTGCATTCCTTGCCCATTCAGCATGGCCCATCCACAAATGGCTTTTTAATTCAGCATGCAGCTCCATCTCCCTGCATCCCTTTCCCTGCATGACCTCATGGAGCTCTGAGTCCGTACGAACTCTTGCACTGTGTTCCCAGAGGAGTGAGTTACGGGCCAAAAATCCCCAACTAGGTACGGCAGTAGCAACACCAGGTTCCAGGTAGTAGGACACGCAGATGGGAATAAAGAAGAAGTAGATGGAATTCGACGGGAAATAGTGACAGTTGTGGAAACCCAGAGATTATTGTATTGCAAGGCCTGGTGGTAAATCTCATCCTTAAATGCAGTGCACGGTGAGAGCCCCTCTTGCATTATTAAGGCAGAATAAGCTAGTGGTTAAAGCAGCGGGGTGGAGTCTGGAGTCTTGAGTTCCATTCCCTGTTCTTCTGCTCTGTGTGCCCTCATAGACTTTAAGGTCAAAAGGGACCATCCTGATCACCGAGTCTGACCTCCTGCATGTGGCAGGCCACAGACCTTCACCCACCCAGTACTGTAGCAGATCCCTAACCTCTGGCTGAGTTACTGAAGTCCTCAAATCATGGTTTAAAGACTTTGTTACAGAGAATCCACCATTTACATTATTTAAATCTGCAAGTGCCCCAGGCTGCCAGAAGAAGGCGAAATCCCCCCAGGGTCTCTGCCGATCTGACCTGGAGGAAAATTCCTTTCCGACCCCAAATCTGGCGATCAGTTAGACCCTGAGCATGTGGGCAAGACCCACCAACCAGACACCTGGGAAGGAATTTTTTGGAGTAGCTCAGAGCCGTCCCCATTTCATGTCCCATCTCTGGAGATATTTGCTGCTACCGGTTGCAGGTCAGCTTCATGCCATCGTAGGTAACCTCGTCATACCCTTGTGCAATTCGTTTAAAATGTCTGGGCCCCCTTTCCCCCCCCATCTGTAAAATGGGAATAATGATCCTTCCCCAGCTTTGGGAAGCGCTTTGAGATCTTTGGATGCCAAACGCGACGTTAGTGCAGACGATTTTGTCATGATGTAGTTCAAAGCCTACATGCTGAACACCATGGAAGCCTGCCTCCAGGTTCAGTAGAGCCGGAGGGTAGGATGGAATAGAGCCACTGGTGACTCTAGAGTGGGTCTCACACTGCTTCTTCTGCAGTGTTCCCAGGAGGGATTGAATACATCCATTAGGAGAAGAAGGATGGTTATAAATGGAGAAGCTACAGTTCTCCTTCTGCACCACTTTGAGAATCAGCAGCTCCAAAGGAAGGAAAAGAGCTAAATGGGGGAAGTCAGAAAAGTGCAAGTCTTTATTCACCTGTTCCAGAGCACAGCGGGGGGTTGGGATGCTCAGTAGTTAGGTGCTCATCTGGGATTCCAACGTTCAATTCCTTGCTTTGCTGCAAGCTTCCTGTGTGACATAGGGCCAGGTGCTTAGGTTCCAGATCCTCAAAGGCGTGTAGATGCCTAACTTCCCCTGCCCTATGACACGCGGTAACCGCACGTCCCCGTCTCACCAGGGTGCTGTGAAGATCAATACGTTACAGAGCGTGAGGCTCCCAGACACGAGGGGCTGTATCAGTATCTCAGACAGATAGATCGCTTTGCCCCGTGCGCATGAGGAGATGGGCCAGAGTCCTTTTAGGGATCCGGTCACTTGCCACAATCGGGGCCTGAGTCTCCTCTTCTGCTGCCTTTGGCAGCAGAGCCGTTCTACCAAGTCACCCTGACGGGAGTGAGAGGCGACTCAAACCCTCTGTGCAGCGCTCGTCCTGCCCCCAGAGCTCTGCCCTCTCCCAAGGAGGTTGCCACCACCAGCTGTTCGTTCTGACATGCTGTTTCATGTGTTTGCAGGGTCCGAAAGGTCTGCCTGGAACGAAAGGAGAAAGAGTAAGCAGCAGGCGTCTTAGCTGGACTTTCTGCAGCACCTGGATGGTCACCTCAGCCAGGCAGATCTCCCGTGTTCCCCAGCGCCCTGAGCAATGAACCCCATTGCTGAGGACATATGTTCCTAAGCACATTTCAGCCAGTCTCCACCCACACATCATTCACTCTCCCTTTGCTCTGGTTTCTGGGGTCAGATTCTTGGGCGAGAGCCGTGGGAGCTACCCAGGCTAAAATACCGGTCTCTAACGCAAACAAGAACAAAACCATTCACAACCACCTTAAATCCAGCCATTGTGTTGTGTAGATGAGGGCCAATCCCTATATGTGAGATGGGGAAAATAACACTGAGCTGCCTTGTGACGCTGTAGACAATGGGGAAACCGGTTGATGTTTGTACAGCGCTTTGAGAATGTAAGGTGGTATTTAGGGGCAAAGCATAGAGTGGATTATTCTTCCTGCCAGACAATGAGGAGTCCCAGGAGTCTGCCTTTTGGGGGATTATCAATGCCTGTTTACAGACATCTGATGAGAAGGACACCCCCTGTATAGCATTTGGAATCCTAGGAAAACCCCAAACACAAAGGAGAGTGTTGTATAGCAAAGGCTTTGTCTAGGGGCTTGACCAAGGGACTGAGGATCAATGCTTGTGGGTTTGGTTCCTGCTGTTCTGCAAGTCACCTAAGTCCTCTGGGCCTCGGTTTCCCCAGCTATAAAATTGGGATAGCGATACTTACGTTAGATGCAACTTTGTGTGATGAGTTAGTCATTGCAAAGCGATTCGAGACGCTCAGCTGAATTGCATTCTCTGAGCATAGGTTGCTATAGTTATAAACAAGAGCAGTTCTTAAACAGATGGGTGTACTGAGTGATGTGCCAACGGTAGAGGAAAAGCCTTTCATTGTCCTTTTTGTTTCAGGGTGATCGTGGCTTCCTGGGACCCAAGGGAGAAAGAGTAAGGGACATAAAAAATGTTAACTGTCTGGGGGATGTGGGATATAAGAAGTTGGAAGGGTTTTATGAATGCCAGTTGGCAGCTGGACACGTGTCTAAAATAATGTCAATGAGTGGACGAATTAGAGACATAAATGAAAAAAATTATGTTTTCAGACATCTGGGACCTCTGCTGTTTTCTTACCAAGTAGAAGAGGGAGCTGTATAGTCCCTGGACAGTGGTGCCACTAATCTGAAGCAAGTTCTGGACATGGATCCTGAATTTTGGTGTCTGCATTCGGCCTTTCATCTCAGAAGACCTAGGTTCAACTCCTGCCTTGGTTCAGAGATGGAAGGCATGGCATTAGTAGACCCAATTTTGTCCCTAGTAGACTTCTGTCTTTATCAAGAACTGAGCCCAGTACTCTAAGTTAGATATGAGATGAATTGGCGGAGCTATATGAAGAAGCTTCAACCATTTTCTGATAGTAACATGGCTGGCTAGAGTCACTGCTATGAGACCTTGCTTTCATGAGAATTCAGAAGGAATCCTTCACCCACCACAAAAATGCAGCCACCACTGAGGTGGAATGTGGCAGCTGATTAATGTCGCACAGTACCGCTTTGTAACAGTTTAGGACAGGAAGTGAAAAATATATCTGATTATAGTTTGCACAGTCCATCCCAAAACATGTTAAAGTCTTAAAAATCGTGAGATTGATTATATCAAGTAATATTAAACCAAGACTAAGAAGAGATCTGAAAAGTGCCCCGTTGCTTTGGTCCAGCAAGTATTGAATCTCTGTCAAGTTTCCTGTTAACTTCTCTCCTGAGTGAAATGGCTTGTTAGAAAAGGAGGTTTAGAAAACCTACATGGCAATGCTACCGTTGAGTCAAAGAGTATTAAATGATTAAGGATGATTTATGTCTGAAGAAACTACTTTCAAAGGCACCCTGCTCCAGTGACAAATCAATTCTTAATCTCTTTCTTGAAGGAACCTGAAAATACTTCCCAACCTAAAGGAAAGTGAACTGCCTTCTCCAAAGGACTCCTTAATAAAATATACAGAGGCTTGTGAGATAAAACAGGATGGGGGAGATAACCGGGTTGTGCTTAGTTCTTCCAATTGATTGCTCCCTAACTTTCTTTCTAGCTCCTGCTTCACATGTGTGAAACTCTGTGTTATGCAGGACCTTGGAAAGGATGAGCCCATGGTCTCTTCTGGTCTAAAAAAATCTGTTAATCCCAATCCAGTCTGCTTTGGAACCCTTCAAGCCCAGGAAAGTGGAAGAGTGTCTCAAACTGGAAGGGAAGATGATGATGGTGATTATTGTGTGGGATGCTGTGCAAACTCACAGTAGAGTCCCTGCTGCAAATGGTTTACAGTCTCTAGAGAAGCTAACAAGGAGGATTAAGTGAGTGTTGGGAATTAATTTACCTCTGAGGAAAGGCCATGAAATTTAAATGTGCAGTGTGTGCTACTAAAGATCATAATTAATTAGCAAACAAAGACTATGTTTGGTGCCAGCTGAAGCTCCCTCAAGATGTCCCATCGATCCAAAACCTGAAAAGCATGGAAATAAGAAGTTGTGCATTTCTTTCCAGCGTCATCTTGCCTGCTACACTGTTGAGAATACACCGCAGTGCTCCATGAGGGTTTCAGTTCCCTCGCCAGCGGATATTGACATCAATATATACCCATCACCAGACTCATGCTGTGAGGCAAAACCTCCCTAGCGTCCTCCCAAGGCTGTATATCCACAGATAGCACATCGGACTGTCCTATATTCGTGCCTTTGGGAAGTTATTCTCCCTTAACGCTGCTGACATCACCGTTAAGTTTTGGGGCTTAACTCGCTAATGTTTGTAAAGCTGCCACTAGTACAGCTCAGTCACCCAGTGCTGGGATGTTGACCGGGCGTGAGCGCGACTGAAACACGTTCATTGCGAAATTCAAATGGCTACTCCCAGAAAAGTGTTCGCACTATTCTCCCAGCTCTGCGTTTTAGCACATGCCTGAACCACACTCTGCGTTCGCCCATCATCCATTGATACCTCTCCATCCCTCGGCCCCTTCGGCTGCCATCCTTTCCCTGGCCCGCCTCTCTCAAAGAAAGAAAGAAAGACAGTCTTGTGCTCTGAGCTGCGGACTGCTGCTCCAGGAACTCCTGCATTCCAACCCAGCTCTGCCGCCGAGTCCCTTGGCGGAAAGGGCTCCGCTCACCGCAGGGGAGCCCTCCTGTGGCTTGGGCCTGGAATTAGCTTTTGCCCATTGTGGCCCCCCCTGTTGTCAGTCCCTCTCTTTGCAACTCGAAGTGCTCGCTCTTCGTGACTCGGCGCTCCGGGCCAGGCCACGGTACAGTCCCCTTTCTGGGGTATCAAACTCCCACCGGACAAGCCATCTGGATGCCACCTCAGTTGGTCTTCTGTTCCACCTCTGGGCCTTGTACCACTTCCTAGTTGCCAGGCTTGGAGGCAGCTCTGGGTTCCAGCCCAGGGACCCTGTGACTAGCAATCCAGATCTGCTCAGTCTCGTCCCTGTTGCTGTTTCCCTGAACTCCTTCCTACCCCACCCCTCTATCTCTGGATTTCCACTGGAATTTCCTCTGCTCCCCATGGCTCCCCTCTTGTCCTTTTGCCAGACTCCCTAGTCCAGGGCCGGATTCCAAGGTGTGCTCTCCCCCTGGATTTCCTCCTTGTCCCTGACCAACTCTCTTTCCCTCTAGAAAGTGGCTGCAGGCCCCTGCTGTGTAGCCCCCTCCTGCTTTCACTTGCTGGCTGTATAATCCTGTCCCAGCTCCTCCCTAGCAGGGCTTCATCTGCAGTTAGGCCTTATCAAGCCCTGGCTCCCCTCCAGGTGCAGCAAATAGGGTTATTTTGCCCCTTCTGGCCCACATTAACCTGCTTGGGGCTCCTGTAGAGGGAACACCCCATCATGCCCTCCACGTCTCCATCTATATAATGGGATGCCATGCATGGAGCAGTGAGACGTCACTGTTATGGTTCGTCCTTAGTGCAGCGCTGGGGAGATCAACGTGAACTGTCGTTCTATTCTGTCCTTCAAGTGAGCTTCACGCTATGGTGAAGAGCCAGCTCGCCACACTGGGATGAAAGTCTCCCATCTGCGCCGCACCCAAGATCAGGAATGAACCTAGGTCTCCTGCTTTGCCTCGTGCAGCTGAAATCTGTATTGTGGCTCAGGGGCAGGGTGGATATTTTGATACCTTTATTCTTGCTGTGTGAATCACCCAGCATGTTGTCTGCTGAGCCATTCGCAGCAAAGGTCGGTCTGTCCAGTGGGGCATATGGTAACTGCAATTCTGCATCATGGCTTGTGTGTCCATCGTTCTTGACTGTTTGTTTCCTAGGGTGAACCCATTATTATTTTTGGACCTCAAGGCTATAAAGGCAACAAAGGAGATCCGGTAGGTTGTGACAGTTCTCTTTGAAAGCATGTTACCTTCAGTAACTGGGAGCAGTTCATTCTCTCATCTGCAGTAGTGGTCATTGGGTATATATCTATACTGCAGTAGAAGCCCAGAGTTCAAACCCAGGCAGCAGCCTAACCCCCCTTACATCTGCTCACACATCATGCTAACCCAGGGCTCAGACCCAGGATTCCACGGGCATGGAGGGTCCGAGCCTGAGTCAAGCTGGGACCCAGGGTTCAAGCCCTATTTCTTTGTAGTGTAGACTCATGCTCTGGGAGTCTGCCAACGGTATCCCACAGGCTGACTCCCTTTGGCTGGTGGACAGTCACGTTTTCCCACACTGCACCATGAACAAACGGCTAGAGCAGCCACATTTTGGGAGGTTGTTAGGAATTTTGGGATATGGGTGGTTGCACTCGGGCCTGCATAATACATAATGCAGATGCTGGAGCCCCAGGTTGGGACCCAACGTTCAACAATTTCTCACCTGGGGTTACAAATGAGTGTAAGCACTCAAGCCCTAGGTTAGCAAACCTAGGGTCAGATAACTCGAGTTCTACTAACCCTGGGTTTACATAGCAGTGTAGACGGACCCTAAGAGTCACAGTGTTTAAGGCTAGCAGAGGCCACCAGATCATCTAATTTGACCTCCTGTATATCACAGGCCTCCAAGCACCACCTAGCCACCCCCCACACCAAGCCAACTGCCAGAATTGGACCCAAGTAGTACAGCCCTCAGTCTTAACCTACTTGATTGGTGTTTGTGCTCTCCTGTGTATTCCATGTCCTGGTTCTGGTTTCTATGTGTTCAGTGGCTTTTGAGATGGGAGCCCTGGCTGAGTTGATGCACAGATGAACTGAACAAGCCTGGTGACTATCTCAGAGGGCTGGCTAGCTCAGGAAGGGCCCAGCCAGGGGAGATGGATAGCTCCAGGGATTGGGTATGGCATAAAGGGCCTCTCACCGTTAGGTGGCTGGTTTCAACCCTGGGGTGATTGTCTACAGAGAAGCAGTGTGGGACAGTGGCTAGAGCATGGGACTGGGGGTCCAGCAGATCTGGGGTATGTTCCCATTTTTGGTTCACTATGCAATCTTAGGCAGTCACTTAACCTCTCGCTTCCCTAGATTCGGCCTTCTGGAAAATGGGGTTAATGATACCTATTAGCCTTTGCAAAATGCTTTGAGATCTGCAAATGAATGCGGCTGCACAGGGCCAAGTGCTGTTAATAATACCTATCTTTGTCTGTACAAGCTGCTGCTGAATAATTTTTGCTGTTTGGTTGCCTGTGCGAAACAAAGTGGGTGGCATCAATCCAGCTCCTAAAGGGCATGGAACTGAGCTACCTTCTGACCCCTGAGCAGCAAGGTGGGGAAGCTTGACCTAGAAATACACCTCTGCGAGTTGCGGTCACTGAGTGCTGCAAGGTCCTTAGATGCACGCCTGGCATAAGCATAGCAAAGAGGCATGTCTAGGTTTGGAAGATGCTGGCGTGGGGTGCGAGTGTAGTTCATAGAGCTTCTGTCTGATCCCGTAGGGTGAGCGGGGCCCGCCAGGCTTCGATGGAGACAAAGGCGAGAAAGGGGAGGATGGGCCTGCAGGAGAAAAGGTAGGAACCGCCGTATTCATTGGGGGTCTTAGGCGGCTTCATTTGTGATATACAGAACTTACATGTGCACTGCTGCCCTCTATAGGATATCTTGCATAGTATCCACTCAACGCACTCTGCTGGCTGGTGTATGGGGGCTCATTTAGCCCCGGTCTACATGACAGAGTTAGCTCGACACAAGGCAACTTACTTTGACTTAACTCTCTAAGTGTCTACACTAAAATTTTGCTCCCACTGACGTAACTGGCCCACTACACCGTCTTACTAACACCACCTCCACAGGAAGCATAAAGTCAGGGTTGATGTAGTTAGGGTAACGCAGTGACAGTGTAGACACTGCATTGCTTACATCGACTGTTGCTGGCTTTCAGAAGCTGTCCCACAATGCCCCACGCTGACAGTTCAATCGGTGCAAGCTCTTCCGGTGAGGATGCGCGTCTCTGACACAAGGAGCGAAGTGTAGACATGCACAAGTGATGCAGTTACTGTGGTGGCTATATAAACAGTTGGGCAGTCCTTATTCTCTCCACTAGAAGGCAGCAGTGCACATACGCGCTAGCCAGTTGACTGTGGTATCATCACGGGAAATGGTGTAGGTTCCCCGTCATCGGAGAACTGGTGTTATGATTCCTTAAAAACAGAGATCGTTTTTGCTTTGGGTGGCTGCTGCAGATCCCATGGCGTTGTCTGTATGGGCTGGTTGGCTTTTCCGTTCTTCCCCCCCACGCAGCTATTATGCCGCGCGCTGTGCCTTGGTTCCCTCACCTATGCACATGTGTAGTTGAATGGTGCTTTGGGATCCTTAAAGGCGCTATGTAAATGCAGGGTGCTATTATAATTCTCCTCCATTTCCACCTGTTCCTCCACTGACTGCCTGTTCAGGAGCAATAGCTGCCAGCATTGTATTCGTTGCAGCTTCTCAAAAGGAGGCAGCCCCTGATCCCGTGGCATATTCTGTGTAAGAAGTAAATTCCCTGCCTCATCAATCAGGATTCCGCAGGGCTCTGAGAGCTACACCAAGTGACCCCTGTTAATCAAACATCTAGATCAGCACTTCTAAACGATGGCGCAGAATGAGCCATTGAGAACCCAGCAGGGGGGATTGGGAGGGTGGAAATGGGGTGGTGGTGTGGGGATCTTCTTTCTCATGAGGTGATCCACAGGGTGAAAACATTGGAAAACCTCGCCCCTTGGGGAAATCATGGGTGTCAACTGCGTGGTGAGGAGGCCCCAATCTATAATCCCAAATAAAGGTGTAGGGGGGCAGGAGGCGAGGTATGTTTTTAAGTGGAAATGGCAATTTCTGAATAAACAAGTTTCTTGGTTTGTGTGTTCGATTTTAGGGGGTCAAAGGTGAGGCAGGTGTCAAAGGGGCCATGGGACTGTTCGGTGCCAGAGGACCAGTGGGACAGAAGGTTAGTACAATGGCCCAAATGAACGCTGAGAAACCTACATGGTTACCATCCTAGCTTGTCGCTCCGCCACTGGAACTGAGCCCTGGCTTTGTCACTTATCTTGAATAGTTTGGGGGGCTGGGGGTGGGGCGACAGGATCTTCCCAGTGGGGCACTGCACCAGGCAGTGTTCAAGTGCTGGTCCAGGCTAGACATTCCCCAGCTTCCACTTGGGTCATCTTGTCACCAGGTTTTTCTGCCCCATTGCGCACTCCATTTAGAGCACGCCGGTACTTTTGTTCGAGGTCAGTGTCCTGGAGGAACCATGTGCCGTAGTGTTCTCCAAGTGGTCACGGCGCGGGACTGGAAGCAGGAAGTCCTGAGCCTGGGGATTGTGCTGACTCCTTTTGTGGCCTTGGGAGTCACTCAAGCTCTCTGGGGCCCCTTGCTCTAAGGTCCCTAGTGGTGTAAAGAGGCCTTAAAGTCTGCAGATTTCTCCCCCTCTTCCATAACTTCCTGTGAAATGCCTCTGTGTAAGCGAGTTCCCTTGTCATCATAGACCCGGTGGAAAGGCTGTGCCAGCCTCCCACTCCTCCTCCTAGGGAGACACATGGGCATCTTGGGTGTACGTTGAAGCAGTCTTGAGGGCTGCTCTAATTTACACCAAGCCTGGCCAGGTCCCCCAGCCAGGCCCAGAATACCAGCAGGTGCAGAGGTTCCTGCACTGAATGCATCTCAGCTGGAAGGGTGAATCAGGCCCCTGTGTTTCCCTTACTCCATTTATCAACTGGGGATAACGCTACCTCGCTGGGGTGCTGGATGCCCTCACTGAGGTTCCTAAAGCGCTCTGAGGATGCACGTTGCCATAAGAGGAGTTGCTGCAAAAGAAGGGGTTGGGGCAAAGTCCACAGAACATCAAATTGCAAATGGAATGAGGTCAGCCAGACCCGCTGTGTTTCAGACGATAAATGAAATCCGTCTGGCATCAGACTATTTGTCGTCCCAGGGCACATTTTGCAAGAGTTCATGGTGTTACTTCCATCTCCGAACTGAATAACTACTTTCAATTCCCCCTGCAGTTTCTTCCATCAGATGTTTTATTTTTCACTTCCCATCCTAAATTGTGTGCCGTGTTGCTGTGCGGCGGTTAGACAGCTGCCGCATCCCACCCCAGAGGTGGCTGCACTAGCTTGGCAGTATGATAAGCGATGCCTGTATTCATACAGCAAGCAAAGTGCTTCGGGATCCTCCAGGAGCTAAAATGATGATGATATGGGTTTTGGAGGGGAATCCTTACTAGGGATCAAGTGACTGAATGGTAATTGTTTGCAAGGTGTGTAGGAGACACATGTGACTTTCCTGTGTGTTTAACTCATTGCTCCTTCTCTCCCAGGGAGAACCCGGAGAACCTGGCCTGCCTGGATTTGCTGTGAGTTGTGAGAGCGTTTCATGTTAGTAGCATTGGGATAATGTCCATTCGCTCTAATGGCCTCATGCTGTGCACTGCTGATGAGAGCACCCCGAGTGCTAACTTTCTCAGCAGGCAGTCACCAGGCTCTTGAAAGGTTATTAAGAACGAGGGAGATGTCCTGACGTTGGCTGGTGTTCAGCACTTCGATAGCTGGGAGCACAGTACATGGAGGGCTCTTGGTACGTCCCTTCCTTCTGTGGGGATCCATGAATAGCCCCCTCGTGGCACCTCCTGTTCTTTTTCAGGTGCACTCCTGCGGTGGAAGTGCAAGGGTGGCTTTGATGTGCACTGTGCTCCTCTCTGACTCACTGACAGCTAACGCTGTGTGTTTCAAAGGCAGAAGATGCCTCCAGGAAGGAAATAATTTGGGTGAAACTTTCTTGAACGCTTGCATGAAAAGGGAGATCTGAACAGCGTGAGGGTGGCTGTATGGATCAGTGAGATCAGAGATGCAATTTAATGAGGGCTTTGCATTTTGCATCAAAGAACACCTAAAATATGCATTTCCCCATTTTACTATATTAGCATTTCAGGGTGTACTGTCTGGACAGAACCGAAGCTAATACGTGTTCAAAATGCCACATATATACAGGCTTATATATGTCATGGTAGTAGTTAAACCTTAGAATACTGCCATCCACATGAATTCTGAGAAGGATATACTGTAGTGAACTGGCTACTGGACATGTGCACCAGTGCCCTCTGCTGGATGGAATGAGAACTACTCAATTCTGTTCATAGACCACATACTGCAAACCAGAAGCTGGTTGAACCATTTCAGCGAAACAAAACAATTCGTCATAAAATGACGTCATAAAAGTCGGATGCCACGGCCATGTTTGTTCGCATGAACTGTGTTGTGTCTCCAGCATTCTTAACAGCCTCATGAACACTCCCCGGTGTTGTCCTTGGTCAGTGGAGACTCAGATTTCAGAGCTGCTTTCACATGAGTTCACCTCTCAGGTGGGGGGCAAGAAGGCGCCTTGCTCGTTCCTCCAGCTGCTCACTGTTCGCTCTGGCCACTGTTGTTCGTTGTGCCCCCGTTCACTCCATCACTCTGTTGCCAGTAGCCCTGTGCCATCACTTCTGCTGCCACCTGCCACTGTGACCTCTGCGAGTTGGTCTCTTGAGGTTCCACCAGCCTCAGTGATTTCAGCTGAGCTCTCAGTGGGGGAACCTCGCTGCTAGGGCAGGCTGGGCCGTCTCTTCCACAGAAACACTGCCCCACAGCAGGTCTGAGCACTTGACTAAACTGAAATGTTTCAGGAAAGCATTTCACATTCTTGAAATTTCTGTTCAAAATTTTCAAAAGGCTTCAGTTTTTTCCCCATTTTATTTTGGTGGGAAAATCCCACGCCTGTTTGCCATTCTTTACTTTCCCCCCCACCGGTTTCCAGTGGGGAAAAAAATGTAAAAGGTGACTGAAAGTAGGCATTTCCCCACCAAGTGAAAAGACATTTTTATTTCAATTTTTTTTTATGAAATACTAAAAATGCAATGAAAAACACTGAGCAAAGCAAGGCACTTGAGAGTCTTTCAGAAATGTTCAAGAAAGATGCTTTACCTTTTTTTCAAATAGTTCTACTGTGCGAAAGTGTTTTCCTTTAGCTCAAGTGATAGGGCCTGGGGCTTGGGACCGAAAAAGATACAGATTCTATCACACCTGTTGGTGTGAAATTCCTCATGTCGGTTCTATGCTGCATTGCGACTATCGTGGAGCTTCTCGGGAGCCATGGATTTCGTACTGTTTACATGTGTATGATCCAAAGCTTTAATTCCTCATCAAAGTGTAACAAAGACCATGGGTGGCACGTCAGCTGCCCCTTCGGGGAGGCTAACCCCTGGCCCCACCCCTTCCACCTGAGGCCCTGCCCCTTCCACCCCTCGCTTGCCAGAACCACGAATGTCCCCACCCACCCCCGCGGTCGGAGGAGTCCCAGCCAAAGCAGCTGGCCCAGACTGCCAGACCGACCCCCAGAGGCGCCAGCTGGCCTGCTCCCTGAGCTGCCAGCTAGCCCTCCCCAGCCGATCTGCCTCAGCTGTGCCAGCTGGCCCTGAGCAGCCCCAGGTCACCGGACAGCCCCGAGCTGCCTGCTGGCTCAAGTTGCCCTCAGGCCTCCAGCCAAGCCCCAGCTCCAGGCCGCCAGCCAGAGCTGAGCCACCACTGGCTTTGCGGGAGAGAAAGGGGCCTTGGGGCAGCACGTGGGTGGGACCACAGCCTGGGTTAGGGGAAGCTTAATCTCCCCTGGCCTTTGATACTTGCCTCCCATGACAAAGACCCTGATTCAGTAAAACACTTCAGCGTGTGCTTAGCTTAAAGCCTATGCAGAGTGCCACTGAGGTCAGTTTAAGCATGTGCGTAAGTGCTTTCCTGACTTGGTGCCAAAAGAAGTAATGTGCCCTGAGCAGTACTCAAGAAAGCAGTGATCCCATCTGGTCAATCGCAGCAGGACTCCAGCATGAAATTGCAGACCTCTGTTTAGATGCATTGTTGGGAGTCCCTTCAGATTATATACACAGAAAATGACTAGCCATACTAAAGTCATTAGTTAGCTCACCAGCTGCTTGACCTTCTTGAATGGCTGTGGGGGTGATACTGGGAACAACTGAGAACTCCGAGTCATTTTCTCTCGCAAATTGCATCCAAACCAATGCTCTCTTCATTCTGCTCTACAATTTGGACATCAGTGTGGTTTTGTATCGTGCTGATTTCCTGACATCTACAAATTTCACTGTACCAGACAAATAACCACTGGCCATCGGTTTCTTGTAAACGTTCATGGTTCAGGAACGCCGGCTAATAATCCTTATTAGGATGCAGTTAATGAGGGATATTTCCTGCATTAGGAAGACTACCTGTATTGTCGCTGGAGCTGGGCTGGGACGGCAAGATTTCATTTTAGTTTTGCGTAACCTGTGTCAGCACTGAAGCCAGGCTCCACTTTATCAGAAGTCCCAAAATTCAGGACGGATGCTGTCAGGGTTCCCTCGCCACTCTGAACTCTAGGGTACGGATGTGGGGACCCACATGAAGGACCCCCTAAACTTATTTCTACCAGCTTAGGTTAAAACTTCCCCAAGGCACAAATTCTTTGCCCTTGGACAGGACGCTGCCACCACCAAGTGATTTAACAAAGAATCAGGGAAAGGACCACTTGGAGTTCCTATTCCCCCAAAATATGCCCCCAAGCCCTTACACCCCCTTTCCCGGGGAGGCTTGAGAATAATATCCTAACCAATTGGTTACAAAGTGATCACAGACCCAAACCCCTGGGTCTTAGGACAATAGAGAAATCAGTCAGGTTCTTAAAAGAAGGATTTTATTTAAAAAAAAGGTAAAAATCACCTCTGTAAAATCAGGATGGAAAATAATTTTACAGGGTAACAAAAGTTTCAAAACCACAACAGAACTTCCTCTAGGCTTAGTTTCAAAGTTACAGACAACAGGAATAAACCTTCTTCCAGCAAAGGAAAAATTCACAAGCAAAACAAAAGATAATCTAACACGTCTTGCCTGGCTTTTACTTACAATTTTTGTAAAATGAGAGACTTTTAGGATGGTTTATAGGAGAAGGAGTTTTCTGACTTGATGCTTCTCTGCTTCCCAAGAGAACAAACCAAACAAAGCCTTCCCCCCCCCCACCCCGCAAGATTTGAAAGTATCTTCTTTCCCCATTGGTTCTTTTGGTCAGGTACCAACCAGGTTATTTGAGCTTCTTAACCCCTTACAGGTAAGGAGGAATTCTAGGCTACCCTGAGCTGTATGGTTATAACAGATGCGGGAGAGAGAACCCCTGGGCCTTTTGGCCCGTCGCAGATGGGTACTGAGAGATGGATCTTGGAGGGCAATAGTGCCAAGCGTGATTTGTGTACGTGCTAGGCAAAAAAGGGATGAGCCGAACAAGTGATTCCAGTCTGCACTCATGAGCCATTGCCAAGCAGATGCTAGATTACCCCTCTTTAGTAGCAAGAGTAAGACCAAAGGGGAGCATACAGCCAAGTGCCTTATTAGTACCAGGAGGGTCATGCTTGGGCGTGCATCTCCTCAGATGCACCAATTTTTATTACCCTGAGCACTCGTGGAGAAGGGAGCAGGTGCATATTACCGTCAGTCATTAACATAGCTCCATCAGCGTGCGTGGCACATTGCAGAACAAAGAACATCAGGTTTGCTGCCAAAGCGGACTTACAAAATGTTCTGCCAACCTGATGCAGCGTAGCACCTTCCTCTGAATGAGCCTGGGTTAAGGTCCTGGTGGACTTGAGCACTGACAAGTGAAGATATACACTCCAGGAGCAGGGGGAGAATAAGGAAGGACACATATGATGACTATGTGATTACAAGGCTGTTCTGATGCCGCTGCTGTAAATGGGTCTTCTGGGGAGTGATTTGACTGAGGAGCGGGTGAGCTCATGGGAGAGGGATGTGAGCAAGGATGTTGCAAGCACGGGGATGGAGTGGAAGAAGATCCAGAGGCATGTGGGGGAAGAAAGGAGGCTTGCGGTTGTCATTGGCAGATAGAGGCCTCCAGGATCGCCAACCCCAAATGGTCACAAATCATGACAGTCATCAAAAATCCTGAGATTGGTTATAAAATCATGAGATTATGTACCAATAATAGATGTGGGGTTCTTTTCATTTGCCTTCTGCTTTTTGGACCTTTAGGGTGCACTGGGGTCACATTTTGAAGCTTCCCCCACAGCCGTGAGGGCTGACCTTTTCTTTAAGACTGAAGGCTGAAATCATCATGGATCCACATGATTCCAGGAGCTGGGGCTTTAAGGCAAACAGTGATTATCGTGAGCCTCGTGACAAAATCATGAGAGTCGGCAACACCAAGGCCTCTGTGCTAACGCTGACTTCAGACACCTCCCGTCAAATATATACCTCTAAACCCGGTAGGCAGTGAGCCTGTGAGTGGTGGTTACAAACCACCCTGTGGCTCGGGAACATATCCACTCTTCTGTTTGGGTTTTCACTGCTGTTCTGAGCAGATGTGTCCTGCCTGTGCTTGTCTTTAGGAAGTCCCGTTCCCTCCCTTGCACCTTTCCCCGATGCGAGTGAAGTGATGCCCAACTTGCTCACTTCAGCAGCCACAGCAGGTCAGTAACCAAAGGGGCTTCGTCTTGGGCTTGCACCCGAAGCTTGGCCAGTGCTGTAGCTGAAGGCAGTGCTCCGGGGTGGTTCAACCATCTCTTTGCGTCAGGCCAGCGCTCAGCATTCATGACTAATCTACATCACTTCGCTATTGTGTTACCTAATATCTGCACAGAGAGCTGAAACCTGTTTGAGGCAGTGCTTTAATCACTGTGCCCCCTGAGCATTAGACTTATTGGTAGTTATTTTCAGCACTCCAACAGTAATTGCCTTTAAATGGCCCTTTTCGGAGCGCCGATCGCCCTGCCTTTATTTGCCTGGAGAAGCTTGAAAGGTAAAGTTGGGGATGGGCCCTGCTTTGAGCAGGGGGTTGGACGAGATGACCTCCTGAGGTCCCTTCCAACCCTGATATTCTATGATTCTATGATTTTAAATCTCCAGGAATAAATTTAAACACCATCAAACTATTCCCCAGCCCTGCCCCAAATGCTTCCCTCTTCCCCAGTCATCTCCTTATGTTTTGTCATCTTCTTTTCTCCCAACCCTTCTGAGCTCTCAAAGCTTCTTTTCATGCCCTGCATACAAACTGCCTTGGAAAAATATCACTTCCAGGACCCCACTCCTAGTGACTGTTCTGCATGCCTTCCTTCGGGGAATGCTGTTCTCCCCTCTTTTTATTATTATTATTGTTGTATTTGTGTAGCACCTAGGAGCCCCGGTCATGGACCAAGACCCCAAGGTGCTAGGCGCTGTACACAGATAGAACAAAAAAACGGTCCCTGTCCCAAAAAGCTTGCCATCTAAGTATAAGCCAAGAGACGACACATGGATACAGACTGGTTGATGCGGGGAAGCAATGAGACAGTCAGCACTGGTGAGCATGGTAGGCAGCAGTCTCAGCCCACCACCCGTGGTTAAGGGTTTTATAGACATTCCAGCAAAGGAAGGCTTTCCCCGGGGACCTGAAGGAGGACACTGAAGTGGCTCTGAGGATGTGGATGGGGAATACCTCCCCAGCCTGAGGGGCAGCCTGGGAAAAAGCCTGAAGGGGCTCGTTTGGGAATTTCAGAAGCAGGCAATGAAGGCCCTTCTGTGTCTTCTATGCATGCAGTAGCCCACTTTTCCTATTGCTCGTAAACTATAGGCCAAAGTCACCAACTGAACGAAAAGTTGGGCTCCTGGCACCTGAGTAGCTGCCCCGAGGACGATCCTGTCCGGGTCCCTAGGTACGTATTTGGTGTGCCCAGCTCACCCCACCCAGGCTGCAGCGGCTACGTGGCTGTTTTTAATATGCTAGTGCGACAAGAGCTAGTGGAGGCATGTCTGCCCCTGCTGGAAGTTACAGCTCCATGTGGACCTCTTCCGCTCCTGTGATGAGGCGCTAGTTGGGATGGAAATAACCACGTATTTCATCCAGGGGCTGGATGGTTCTCTTACCGGAGACATCTGTGCACAGGGTGGTTACACATGCACAGACTAAAAGCTTAGTGTCACCCCCACATGACATGGGTGCTCATGGTTTCAGGACACAAATACAGCGCAGAATATGCTTATCTCAGTGGAAATGCCGTGGGGCTAGCTTGGCAAATTCCACACACAGACAGTGACTAGGGGTCAGACTCTGCTTTTAGTCGCACTGTAAGTCCAGAGAAACTCCACTGAGTAACATCCCCCGAGCCCAGAAGTGTTGAGCCCAGGGAGTGTGGTCCAAACGGAGTGAGAGGACTGCACTTTGCACGGTCAGTTTTCAAATGCCAACGAACGTGAACTACTCTGGATTTTCACTGGTGTAACAGACGGCAGAATCTGGCCCACTCTGTGTAACGGCCTGTAGCTGCAAACTGCTCCTAGCCTGTCAGTTCTCAAATATTATATGGTGAGAAACGGATTTTAGTCAGTTACAGTTACAGTGAATGTAAAATATGCCCCTCTCCCACCCAAGGCTGGATTTGATTTTAGGGGAGGCAGTGTGGTCTAGTGGATAGATCACAGGGCTGGGCATCAGGAGGCTGAGTTCTAATCCTGCTGCTCCCATGGCCCTGCTGTGTGACTCTGGGCAAGTCATCTGTGTTCCCTCCCACCTTTGGTCTGTTTAGACTGTAAATGATTTGGGGCAGGGACTGTCTCACAATACGCATGTGTATAGCAGCCAGCACAATGGGGCTCTGATCTCAGTTGGAGTCGGTAGATTCTCATATAATCACATGACTCCAAGAGCTGGGACTTGAAGTCAAAACATCAAATATTGGAAGACTCCAACATCTCAGTTTCCTGCAAGGTTTAATCACCCACCAAAGAGGTTTATTTCTCATTCCCTTCCCATGGCAACCTTTACCCTGTAAACAAACAATCCGGCTTAGACAGCAAATGGAACCCTGTTATTTGCTTTGTTTGTACATGATATTTACTTACCCTGCCACAACACGGAATTGACCATGTCATTAAACAATCACTGGTCTCCATGGAAATAAAGGACATACAGGGTATCATGCCTTCTTATTAATTTTAGCAATTAATTGCCGGAGCAGACGTGGCTCCTGAAACCACTGGCCCTGCTGACCCAACCTGTGGGCATCACATAGGAAAATCAGGCCCCGTTTATGGTAATTGTGTTGGATACTTTCCTTTGGTCACTGTAAAGGTTTCCGAAGTGGCAGATAGAGACTTAGTGGGGTGGTGGGGAAGGGGGGGACGACGACTGAAAAGGCAGCCTGCCCACCTGTTGTTGTGATTAGATCTGCTGTTCATTCTTCAGGCAGGGAAATGGCCCTTTTAGAGACTCTCTCTAAATAAGACTCTGGTGGCTGATTTCTTTTTAATAACTGAATCTTTCTTTTCAACAAAGGACTGCAAATTGATTCAAACCGCTGAGTGCCACTTACTCATCTCATGAGCTGTTTAAGCAGCCGGCTTGCGCTCGTTCGCCGGGCATTGAGTGCTCTGCGGTCAGTCATCATTGCCGAAGTGGGAATGAGTCCAACTTCAGTCAGCAGAAATGTTGGAGTTCTTAATTGTGAAGTTGAAGGTGGCAAAACTAGATAAATAAAACGGCAGCTGAACCAGCAGCCTTTGAAATGTTGGACATTTCTATTCACTCAGTACCCAGGCCTGGCTGCTGGGTCAAACTGTGGGCTCAAGCTTTGCGAAAATGTCATTGTAATCGTTGATCTCAAAGTGTCACTATCCCCATTTTGCAGATTTGGGAAACTGAGGCATGGATTGAGTAAGTGGCTTGCCCAAAGTCTTACAGCAGGCCAGTGGCAGAGCCAGGAAGCAAACCCAGAGCTCCTGCTCCCAGTCCAGTTCCGAAGGAAATTGCAGTGAAAGGTGAAACTTTGCACAACTTCACGTAGATTTTTCCAGTGCAAACGTTTGACCTTTTTTTTTGAGATACTTGGAGAATAAGCTCATAAGGTGCATGGCAAAGTACAGCTGGATGAAACTCAATAGCCCTGCCTCAAACAGCCGCAAGGTAAAACCAGGAGGTGGTGACAACATGGAACTGATAAAAGAATCACTGGGTGAAATTCTCTGGCCTCCTGGTCAGATTAGAGGAACATAATGGTCCATTGTGGCCTTCAAATCTATGAATTTATGCACTTCTCAGAATTGCTGCTGTTTGTTTATTTTCTTTATTTGCAAATTTCATGCACAGACAAGATCGTACCCAATAGGGAAACTGGGGTAGGGGGAGATTGACTTTCCCTGTTTTCATAGTAATATCGTGCTTTCATTGGCAGATAGATCCAAATTTTGCTTCAGACCAACTTCACAAGTGTGTGCGAATCTCCATTCATCTTTGTGCACCCCTCGCTCCCGAAATAAAAACGGGTCACTTTGCTGAATTTGGTATTCAGTGCTTGAATGCACATTTATCACTGAACTGTGTTGCAGCCCCATAGCAACGCATTCAACTGCCGTGTGCCTCAGTTTTCTCATCTATAAAACAGGGATAATAAAACTTATCTCACAGGTGCAAGGCTTGACCTGTGCAAAAGCCTTGGAGACCCTCAGGGGACAGTGCGATATGAATACAAAGTGGTAGCATTCATATTACTCCATTTTTTTCGGCTTCTGATCTGTGCTTAGGAGGACACACCGCCTTCGCCCTACAATTTAGTTTTTGTTTATGCAGCCAGAAGCCTCACAGCAGGCAGCATGAAGAAATTAATATTACTCCTCTTGTAACAGGGCATGGCTGGCCTCGAGGGGAAGAATGGAATCAAAGGAGCTAAAGGTGACCGAGGTCTGCAGGGTCAAAAGGGGGAACCGGTGAGTCTCGCAAAGAAAGACAAAGGGATATTTTGAAGGCTGAAAAAGTGGCTTGGTCCTTTTTCCAGTGTTGCCAACCCCAAGGTGTTCAAAAATCAGGAGTCAGGCTCACCAAAAATCCCGCGATTGGCTTTAAAATCATGCACCAATAAAAGATATGGGGTTCTTTTATTTGCCTTCTGCTTTTTGAGCCATTAGGGTGCACCGGGGGTCACATTTGGAAGCTTCCTCCGCAGCTGTGAGGGCTAGAAACTGACTTTTTCTTTTAGACTGAAGGCTGAAATCATCACAGCTCCACGTGACTCCAGGAGCTGGGGTTTTAAGGAAAACAATAATTATCATGAGATTCATGACAAAATCAGGAGAGTTGGCAACACAGCTTTTCTGACCCAGATTCAGAATCCCCCTCCGACCCCCTCCCCCAAAACAAATCCTCGGCTTTAGGCACAGGCCCTCAAGTGCTTTTGTTGTTGTTTGTGAGACTTGCTGTAAGCAAAATTACTGCAAGACACTCCTGGAGAACTCTGAACTATGCTGTGGGCAGATTCTCAGCAGGTATAAATTGGCGTAGCTCCCTTGGACATTGATTAACCACCACTGAGAATCTGCCCTGAGTCTCTGATGTGACAGAGTTTTAAATTCTCCCATGGCAAGTTCAGCTTTCCAGACGTTTACCTGCATGTTACTTCCAAGCACGATATCCACAGCGCTGGTAAAACCGAAGTGGGGAGAAGGGGGGAAAAAAATCAGCCAGTTGCCCGTTCCACAAACAGGATAACATCCAATGAAGTGGGCTGTAGCTCACAAAAGCTTATGCTCAAATAAATTTGTTAGTCTCTAAGGTGCCACAAGTCCTCCTGTTCTTTTTGCGAATACAGACTAACACGGCTGCTACTCTGAAACCTGTCTAATAACTGTTTGCAGTAGCAGCACTGATATGAGCTTTCCAAACCTCTAGACACTCACGGCCGTTCATTATTCCAATCCACTCGGCATCGGGAGTCCCCGTAAAACAAGCTGCCACCCTGTGACGAGTGATGGCACTTTGTCGGCCTCATCACGCTCCAACCATATTCCCGGCAGCTGTGTAGAAATCAGGAGGTTGCTTGCGACACGAAGACGACAGAGAATTACCAGGAGGGAGAGTCACTTTGTGTCCGAGTGTACTCCGCTATCGTGTGTTTTGTTGTGTTTTCCATCCCAGAGGTGGCTGCATTTCTGTGGGGGAAATGATTCCTTTATACAAGCTTATAAAATGCAGTGGAGCCTTTGGGGCAAAAGGGGCAATATAAATTGAAGATGATGCTGTCAGGAGAGCTGTATTTTTAACTTTCTAGTGGCATATCATTGTGTGTACATGTGTGTATCTCACACACACACACTGGGGCAGTGCAAGACTCACCACCATGGTGCCTCCTGCTGGCCATTCTGGAATTAGCTCAAGTCCTTCCACAGGGCGCCCTCCTCCGGTGGTGTCTCACTCACCATTACTCTCGCTTTGCTGTCTCCTGCGTCTCTCCCTGGACTGCGGCGTCCTCTTCTGGACCTGTCGGGGGAACCGGCAGTCTATAGTCCGGCCACTCGCCTCGGTGACTGCTGCAGTCACCAGTCTAGTCCTTTGCTCCAGGGGCAAGCTGCAATCTGTTTTGGCTGCTTTCCTCAGGGCAAGTGGGGGCAGCCCTAACACTTTATCTGACCTTCCTCCAGGGCCCCAGTCTGGCAGCGGCCAGCCAGAAGCTCCTTCTTCTCTGCTACCCTGCCTAGCACTGCTCTAGCCATGGTGCTCCTAGGCAGCCAGTCCTTCTCCCTAGCAGGCCAAGGGGAGACTTCCTTCTGCTCTGTTGAGCAGCCCTTTATATATAGCCCCTGCTGGCCCTGATTGGCCACTGCAACAAGCCACCTCCCAATTGGCTCGCTTTAGTGAGCCCTCCTCTAATTGGAAGGTTCTGCACAGGCTTCGTCTGGCCTGCTTCAACCCTTCCTCCCTGTGTGCCCCGCTACACACCCACACCTTGATTTTTTTGTCTTTTATTCAGGGAGCGAAAGGTGATCCTGGTATAACTGGAGACCTTGGACGGAAAGGATCTAAGGTAAGAAACGGGCATCATCACAGAAATAATGAGTGCTTTGGCTATTCTCCGGGGGGGGGGTGCAGCAAATATGAAAACTGGTTGACCTGAATGATTGTAGAAAATGGCAAGTGGACCACTCCACTAGGTTGGTAGATGGCAGGTGAAGAAGAGAGCAGTGCAGTGTTTACGCAAATCTGTAGAATGGCTCTGTTAAGCCATGCATGAGTTAATGCTGGCCCTTTGCACAGGGGTGGATATCACTGTGTTTTGTCCTACTTATCTTTACCAGCTACCTGTCATTTCTCTCCAAGGGCTTACTTGGTTTTCCTGGGCAGATGGGTAGCCCTGGTGCAGATGGAATAAAGGTGAGGGCTTTTTATTGTTCTTGCTCCTTTTAACATTAGTTTAAAGGGGATCTAGCGCAGGTGAAGTGTGCGCCCATGACAGCTCAGGGCAATGAGGTCCTCCTAGTTATCTGCAGGTCAGGCACAGCACTGGGCCATGACAGAGCCCGTCATCATGTCCTGCCAACCTGTCTCAGACCCAACCCGAGAAGCTACCCGTAGGTCTGAGAGCAGACGTCACACATCCCATGATCCATTCTATTGGCAGCGGAGCCACTCACCAGTTTTGAGGAGGTTTAATCACACTTATCGCAAAAATCAGGTTTTCACATGCATTAACCGCCCCATCATCTTTCTAATCAGTGCCTTCTGTTCCCAACCTGCTCACATTTGCAGTATCTTGTTCCACGTGCAGGGTGAGACTGGCAGCCCTGGAAAACCAGGGATACCAGGGTCAGACGGACTGCTTGGGCCAAAGGTGAGTGGGAAAGCCCCTCTTCTCTCTCAGATGGAAGCTTTGTACGGGCATTACAGGTCTCTGAAATTAAATTACCCAACGCCCATGTCCCTCTCCATGGGCTTGTCTAGGGACAAAAATGACACTGATTTAACACAATCTGCTTCTAAATGGATGCAGTTAAGTCAGCGCAAGCTCGTGTGTGGACGTGCTTAAATGGGTTTCAGACTGGCTGGTTTTAGCTTAAATTCAGTTTGTTACCAAATATAGTTAAATGGCTGCAAATTTCGGTCAGTTGACCAGGCCTAGTGACATAGGTGCTGGAACTAGGGAGTGCGGCAGCAACCCCTGGCTTGAAATGGTTTCCATCATATACAGTTGCAGCCGATGACGTGGGCTGTAGCTCACGAAAGCTTATGCTCAGATAAATTGGTTAGTCTCTAAGGTGCCACAAGTCCTCCTGTTCTTTTTGCGGATACAGACTAACACGGCTGCTACTCTGAAACCTGTCATGTATAGAGTTTCCAGTTTGGTTCAATGGCTCTCAGCACCCCCACTATTCAAATTGTTCCAGCACCCCTGCCTAGTGAACACTGTTGGGGGGGGTCTTTTTGAACAGCAACAGAAAAAATGTCTGTCAACGAGTTCTGGGTTTGGTTCTTGATTTTTGTTTTCTTTTCTCACCTCCATGGCTGGTCAGGGAGGGTGGGGACAGGGCCGGCTCTAAGCACCAGCAAAACAAGCAGGTGCTCGGGGCGGCACATTTCTAGGGGCGGTATTCCGGCGCCGGCCATGCTGCCCCGAGAAATGTGCCCCCGCCACCCCAGCTCACCTCCACCTGCTCCCCTGAGCGCACCGCCGCCTCCGCTCCGCTTTCCCCCCTCCCTCCCAGGCTTGCCGCACGCGAAACAGCTGTTTGGCGCGGCAAGCCTGGGAGGGAGAGAGGGAGGAAGGAGAAGCCGAGCGGCGGCATGCTCGGGGGAGGCAGCAGTGGTGGAGCGGAGGCGAGCTGGGGCGGGGAACGGTTCCTCTACCCCCACCACCCGTTACTTCCTGCGCTCCCCCCCACCCTCGCTCCCCTCCGCTCTGCCCGCTCCCCTGAACGCCCTGCCTCTCCCTCGCCTGAGAGGGAGGGGGGAGAAGTGGAGCAGCGGCATGTTCAGGGGAGCAGGCGGAGCGGAGGTGAGCTAGGGCGGGGAGTTGCGGGGGGGGGAGCCGCAGGACGCAATGTGTGGGGGGGAAATGCGGCACGTCCGGGGGAGGAGGCAGGGTCAGGGATTTGGGGAACAGATTGGGAAGGGGTGGAGTTGGGGCAGGGGGGCACAAAAAAAAAAGTGGGGGTGGCCAAAATTTTTTTTGCTTGAGGCGGCAAAAATCCTAGAGCCGGCCCTGGGTGAGGAAGGTGTCAAGCTTTGCCAGCCAATGCATTAGTTAGCTTGCTCTGAGCCCTTGCTCAGGGCCTGATCCGGAGCCCATTGAAGTCAATGAGTTCTTTCCATTGACTTGAACAGCATCGAACCGGACCCTCATTGTGTCAAACCAGAGCTGGTAACTTGCCAACGTGTCTGCCGCCAGCGACACACCCAGCTGGAGGGGTCGCAGAGGGAGTCAGGCAGACAGTCAGGCAGACACTGCATCTTACTCATCAAGATTTCTGCTGGGCTAACCAGATTCTACTAAACGCAAACTGCAACCGACTGATTCAATAGGGCGCAATGACAACATACCTGACCCTGTGACAGTCTGGCACCTGGGTGGAATGTCATGCACGTGTGGGAAATTGGCTTGTTTGATAAGGAAAACCAGAAACCTCGAGTTTTGTTGCTGACAACCCACCATGCTTTATTTTTCACTCTCCCAAAATAGATCTGCCATCTTGGGGAACCTAGTGAGCCGCGACATCTAATGAGTTCTTTCCTGCGTTAAGCGATACTAGGGCCCATTAAAAATAGCAGGTGCACTCGTCACTGAATTACAGCTCGCTTGGTAAATGACAGACGGGGCGGGTCATGCCTTGGCTTTGATTTTTCTCTTGTCTACCTCCAGGGTGAGCGAGGAATGTCAGGTGCAGATGGCCCCATGGGAGTTTCTGGGGAGAAAGGAGAAAAGGTTAGTACTCTCAAAAGAACACCGAGAGGCCATGTTTTGAATGAACCATCCATCACGTGGAGTTAACAAAATTATACACTGCTAGATCGCATGTACCCTTTTCAGAGGGCAAGTGTCACCTGTCTTAAGCATTAAGCTTGGACTTGGGGAGATGTCTCCTTAAGTTCACTCTGTGGTGATGCATTTAACCCTTGGGGTTGGTCTACTGCCTTATCTAGCTCGGTATAGTTAAAGTGGTACAAATCCCCTAGTGGGGATCCAGTTATAGCAGCATAAAGGTGCTTTATACCAGCATAGCCGTTCCTATGCAGAAAGGAGAATACGCTATATTGGTATAAGATACCTTCATGCTGGTATAACTGCGTCCACACTAGGGGATGTTTTGGTAAAACTTTGCACCCCTAACTGACATAGTTGTACTGGTACAAAATCTTTGTGTAGATTAGGCCTTGGAGTGGACGCACTGGTGGGGTATGATATGGTGTATGCACCCCTGGGCCATTTTTGTAGAATCGCCAATTGATCTTAAAGGACTGAAATATACACAACGTAGACTCTTTACCCCCAACATATTGGGCCTGATTCTCCTTTCATTCATACCAATTTAATGCAGTTTAATTTAAATTGCTCCCTGGAGTCACTCCTGACTTACACTGGTTTAAGCTCCTGAAGAATCGAGTCCACTGTATTCTGCAGATGTACTGATATAAGAGGTAAATAAAACTCTGGCACTGTGTAAGTGAGGAGGTGTGATCTACACTGCCATGCCTGCTCATACTGAAGGCTCGTCAATTACAGCAGGGGTGTCGTTTTTATTTATTTCATTCTTTGTGCCGGGACTCGAGGTCCAGGTTCTGTGAGATGGTGATGGCACCCAAAGCAGAGCAGGGCAGGGGAGGGAAATGCTTCCCAGCCTTGCAGCTCCCTGGACGAGCTTGAAAAAAACATCCTCTGCACAAATATTTGCATCAGTTGTAACAATGGGGATGTTTTTAAGAGGTCCAGGCCCCCTCAGCCAAAGTTTCTAAGTAGGGAAAGACTTGGAAAGCTTTCAATCAAATCTGTTCACCTCGATGCACCTCCAGATGTCTCCTGATTTCCCCGCAGCTGCCTGTTCCCCTTCTTCCCATTGGCCTCTCCTCTTGTCCTATCCCCCATGCCGCTTCTGCTCCTTCCTACCATCTACCCTTCCTGTGCAGCCACTGTGTGTGATCCTCACCTGCCCATCTCTCCGCTATACCCGCTCCTGCCTCCCAAGCTGTCTGCCTGCTGGCAGGTCAAGTTCCCACCATCCACCTGCTCTACAGTCCTGCTCCGTAGGAACATAACTGGAAGGGTCCTCCTGGGTCATCATCTCCAGTGCCCTGCTATTGCAGGTAGCCACGTTGGTGCACCCGAGGTCTGTCTCTATAACAATGGTAATTTGGGGGCCAAACCTGCTTCCATTGACGCCAGCGGCAGTTAATGAATATGAAATGTTGTGGGTTATGAATGTGAGCTAAAGTTTAAATATTTTAGAAATAAGTCGTAGTAGGATGATTAGATTTGGCTGTTGCTTATCCTTTAATAGAAACCATCTTCCAATATGTTAAAGGCTGTTATAAAAGAGGATGGGGATCAATTGTTCTCCACGTGCACTAACGGTAGGACAAGAAGTAATGGGCTTAATCTGCAGTAGGGGAGATTTAGGTTAGATAGTAGGAAAATCTGTCTAACTAAATTAAGCTCTGGAACAGGCTTCCAAGGGAGGCAGTGAAATCCCCATCATTGGAGGTTCTTAAGAACAGGTTGGACAAACACCTGTTAGGGGTGGTCTAGGGTTATTTGGTCCTGCCTCAATGTGGGGGGCTGGACTTGATGACTTCTCGAGGTCAACATTTCTGTGATTCTATGAAGTTCATAAACTTACCAAGCTCCATCTGAAAATGAGTTAGGCTTCTTGTCCCCACTACTCCTACTGGAAGGCTGTTCCAAAACCTCGCTCCTCTGATGGTTGGAAACCTTCCTCTCAATTTCAGTCTAAATTTATTCATGGCCACTTTAAACCCATATGCTCCCTTGGCCTACTTGTGCTCCTGCTTCTTCCAGCCCTGCCCACCTCTACAATTCTCTCATGCTCCTCGATTTCCACACCCTCACTGCTTAGCTCCCCTTCCACCAACCTTCTTGGCTCTCCTCCCAAACTACTCTTCCCGCCCTGCACACTCTGGCAGCTCCTCCCCATGCTCCTTAGCAGTTGCTGAGGGGATAATGTCAGGGACTGCCAACTCTAATGACTTATCCGGAGTCTTCTTGCCATATATATGGTGTTTTTTCTTAAAGCCCCAGCTCCCAGAGTCACGTGATTACCTTAGAATCTCAACTTTCATTTAAAGAACTGAGGCTAAGCTTCTGCCCTCTGTGGTGGAGGAGAAAAGCTTGAAAACGTGAAACCTACAGGCTCAAACACCAGAAAGCAAGTAAAGCAAACCCAAAAGGTGTTGTTTTTAAAGCCTCATGATTTTTAAGCCAATCTATTGTTTTTCCGGGGTCCTGACTTGTGAATGCTTGGGGCTGGCAGTGCTATGCCAGGGGAGCCTTTTTCTCAGCTACATTGTTTTATAATGTCACCGCATTTGTAATTTCTCATTCATAATGGTGCGTGCACGAGCATGTGTGAATTTAGTGATGGTGAAAGGTGCCAAGTGTACATGCTTGATGACCCCTTTTTATCCCACCATCAATGGTGCTGTCCTCTAGTGCCACCTCAAGGGTTGAAAAGGAAGTTCAGGCTCTTAGCACATTCAGTCCTGGGCTTCTCCACAGAGACTCTCTACTAATGCCCATTGGGGGGATGGTTTTGAGGACATGGACAACTGTCCAGTTGGAATAACACTGAGACCCACCAATTCATTTCATGTAGGCCATTAAATCAGTCACTGCATGGCTGCAGCTTGAAGTCCACATTATCATAGTCTGTGGCTTAGTGCTGAAAGGACGTCTATTAGAGCAGGTTGGCAAACAGATTTCCTGTCCCATGAAACTTGGTGTTTTTTTCTTAAATGGTCCCAAATCAGGGAAAAAAAGCCAAAATTTTGAATTTTTTTATGAACTGAAATTCCGGAAAACAATTCATTATGGGTCAATTGAAACGTTTCGTTTAACTTTCAACCCTTTTCCTTGGTCTTATGTACAATTAAGTTTCAAAATGAAAAGTCATTTTGAAGTGAAAAAGTGGAAGATTTGTTGCAGAAAGGTTGAAATGGGATGTTTTGACACGTTCTAAATGTTTTTTCCCATTGTTTTCTCTAAATGCAATTTTGTCAAAATTACATAAGAACATCAGAACGGCTAGATTAGGTCAGACCAAAGGTCCATCTAGCCCAGTATCCTGTCTTCTGACAGTGGCCAGTGCCAGGTGCCTCAGAGGGAATGAATAGAACAGGGCATCACCGAGTGATCCATGCCGTCGCTCATTCCCTGAAACAATTTTGCGAAAAAAAAAATAATAATAATTTGGTTTTGTTGAAACATTTTCTGATGGTTAACTGGTGGGATGCAAATTTTCCAACCAGCTCTATTGTATTTCCCTTGGCCAGTCACTGGAGCTGTTCATTTATTCTCTGCAGTTGCAGACTACACCCATATCTAGATTATTGCTGCTTTTGTACCCTAAAGAGTTTTTGACATTAAAACAGCTTTTCTGTTCACCTTTACAGATTTTCTCACATTACAGAAAAATTCCCCTGAATTGAATTGCACACACTCTATTCTTGTCACAATCGAATTGGGGCATTATTATGCGTGTTGGAAATTTATCTGAAGGAGAATTCATGCGGTCTGTTTCTCTTCTTCGCCGTAAATGGTGTTTCTAAATGGTGTCATTATCAAGGCTTATCAAAACTCAAGTATATTGTTGTTTTTTTTTAAACTTTGAAATCCAGGCTATGGACAAATTCGGCTCTTAAAATTCCAGCCATCAGAATTGCTCAATGACAATGCAGATGTATTAGTAACACAATTAACGTAGCATACCTGCCTGTCTGCTACTAACTAGCGAGGGGAAATGCAGAAGGATAGAAAGCTACAGGGAGGGGAGAAGAGATTAAGGGAGCAGGTTGAAGAGAGAAAGAGAGCATAGTTTACCTGGGAAAGGAGATAAATAAGAGGGGACATGATAAAGCTATTTAAAATAATGAAGGGGATAGAGACAGTAGATTGAGAGCTTCTTTTCTCCCAGTCTCACTTCTCAAGGACAAGGAGACATGCAGTTAAATTAAAAGTGGCACATTCAAAACTGATCAAAGGAAGCATTTTTTTTCACTCAGTGTGTAATTGGGCTGTGGAACTCATTGCCACAGGAAGCTGTTGAGGCCAAACCATTGCCAAGAGTCAGAGGAAGTTGGACCTCTATATAGATAGCAAAAATATCCAGAGTTTTAATGGTTAATGCAAAAAAATTTGGAAAGGGAAATAAAACCTCAGTGCATCAGGGCTCAGTTCAATCTCTGCTAGGGATTAGGAGGACACCTTCATTGGGAGCAGATTATCCCGCTTCTTCCTACTGTGGGTTTCTTGCACTTTCCTCTGAAGCATCTGTTTGGACCCTGTTGGAGACGGGATTCTGGAGTGGATGGACCATGGATCAGGACTAGCTTGACCATGGGATCCTATAAAAGAAGAGAGAGAAGAAGAGTTTCATACTTTTTTCTTGCTAGGTTGCTTTAGAAGTTCTAGCCTTGTGGCTACCCAGCCTGCCACCCACTCTTGTGAGCGCCTCCTTTGCATTGCGGCCACGCACGAGCTTATGCAAGTCAGCGCCTGAGATACAATTAAACTGAGAGTCACCGGGGGTCACTTGTGCTAAATGGGAAACCAGGCTCTGTTGGGCGGGGGAATGCATTGCATCAATCATGTCGGGGGGCTCCCGTCTTGATCCTCCAACACTCAGTGACCCGACTGACTCACACTCCATCTCATTCCCAAGAGAGCTTTGCTTTGGAGCAATTGGGGAGGGGGAGGGAAGGAGCTGACTCTCCCTTCAGAATAGTTTAATGTGACTCTCTTTTACTTTAGATGGATGGGCTTCTATTTTTAGTGTTCAAAAGAAACAGCTGCATGAATTAGAAATGCAGTCTGGCTGAGTCACTGAGGTCTTCCCCTCCACCTCCTTCAAGTTCTTCTCTCTCTTCTCCTAGCAACTTCAGGAGAATTCTCATTAGTGCAGATTAGTGTGCATTTAATGGCTCAAGTATTGATAACTGAGCCTTTCCACCTCTGGGCTTGCTGACTCATCCAGCCCAGGTCCAGAGGGAGTGAGAAGCATGTTACCCTCCAGGGGGTGTTGGGTGGCACATGTTAAATGAGTTGGGCATCTCACTTTAGCGCCCTCAGCTGGATGGTGTCCATGTCACAAAGTAATGAGGGTGTGGCCATTGTGACCACTGTCACAATCGGCACGTTTGGTGGCAGCCTCTGAAGAAAGGTCGGGGATTAAATGGGCCAGGAAGTCTGAACAACCCTCTCAGACCTACAGATGGGCACACTAGAGGGTGGAAGCACATTGGCAGGGCAGGCACTGGCAGGCAGGATGGTCTAGTGGAAAGGGCACAGGACTTGGACTCCCAAGACCTGGGTTTAATTTCTGGCTCTGGCATAGACTCCCTGCCTGACCTTAGTTGAGTCACTTAATCTACATTGCACCTCAATTCTCCGTCTGTACAATGGGGATAAAAGCACAGCCCTACCTTTCAGCGGGGGTTGTGAGGATCAGTACATCTGTGAGGTACTCACATCTGTGAGGTGCTCAGTGATGGGACCCAGGTGAGCACCTAGATGGTTAGTCACTGTTCTGTGGGTAAATAGAAGAGTTCAGATGCCAAGACCATCAACATTGTTCCTTAGCAGAGGCTGTACCCACCTGCACCTGGCATTGACAGGGGAATGGAAATGGGTATTGTCAAGAAAATTTCCCCACCCCCATTAGTCTCTTAGCATAGGGGGGGCTCTTTGGCGAGAGTTTCTCTGAGATAACAAGGTTGCTCTGGGAGTTTCATCTGATGCAAACGTATTTGTCCTGCTGTTTTGACCGTTACAGCAGAGGGCATGGCACAGAGACATAACTCTGTAGTGAGTGCAAGGGATGGATTAACTAAGAACTGCGTCTGTGCTGGCAAAGGGCATCCCCCACCCGCCCCCCACACACACACACATTCAAATCATTTCACTGCATTATTAATAGGACAACCAGATGTAAAGGGTTAATATATTTCCCACTGTCAGTAATCCCACTGAAAGCATGTGCTCGGTAGGCCTTTGCAAACCCGCATCTTCCGGGGGGCGCGTCTATACTCGTTTGTATTTGAAGGGAAGTCTCTGACCCACTTTCTGTTTGGAATTCTCAGGGGGCCAAGGGAATTCCTGGCTTGGGCGGATTTAAAGGGCAGGTTGGATTCCCGGGGAAGACTGGTGTGGCTGGACCTCCTGGATCTCAAGGACCACAAGGTGACCCGGGACCACAGGTAAGACATTCTGGGCAGATTGCATTAGATGCTCTGCAGAATTCACATCGCTCCGGCCACTGTCTAGAGGGGTGTGAGCTAGCGGGCTGAGTGCAGCCTGAAAGCCAAGGCCAGTCACTTGCAGCCTGCTTTTCAGGGGAGCTGAGCATCCATATACCCCACTGGCTTCGGCTTTTAAGAGTCTGTAACTGTAGGAGAGAAAGAGAGCCTGGAGCACGGGGCCTGGTGCAAGATCTGAGGCCTGCACAAGAGGCTGTGAACCAAACTAAGGCCATATATTAAAGCAGATGTTTACAAGTTCACTATATGACCTTTGCAAAAGCATTTCCAGTGTCACTAAAACACAGGCACTCCTAAGAAGCGACAGATATTGGGTACATGCGAGAACACACTCCAAAAGCTTAGTGCAGGGACATCCTGGCCTAGCGCCAGATAAGAGGGTCTGCTAGAGGTAACAGCGATGTTGTGCCAGAGACACCTGGAGCATGATACAAGGAGAGGTAACAAGCAGATGTCATGAAATACATAAGATGGTATGAGAGTTGTTTGTCTCCATCTATAAATATTGGGATGCTTCGCCTTAACCCTTTGTGTGGCCTTGGGGACAGCAGAAATTCCCGCTGCTGACTAACCCATTCCTTGCCACTGGACACTCGTGTGTTAGTGTCCCTGTAACCCTGGAGCCAGGGCGCTAGTACTGTGTCGTGAGGGCAATAAACCTGGCCGAGTGCCTTTATCACTGAACCGTGCCAGTGGTCATTCTTTCTGGGTAATATGATCGAGGTCTCCTGAACCAACTATCTGCGCAGGGCTGGGCCAGCATACGGACAGCACACGGGCACCTAACTGACAACAATAAGCGATGTAGCCAGCTCTAACCACGGCCTTCTCCACAGACAGCATGGCAGATAACAGAGCTTGGCCCTCACCAGCAGTCTCTGGGGCATATGGTAACCCAAGAAGCAAGATTTAAAATCGGTGGTGAGAGGGGAAATAACCAGTTGAAGCAAAACTCTCCACAAAAGGCTCACATGTGTAAACCACTTGAAAGGTCCCCCCTGCGGGCTACTGACTCAGTAAGAGGAAGGACAGACCCATGGTTATAGTGTTAGCCTGGAATGTGGGAGACTCCCTGCTCTGCCACAGAATCCCTGTGTTACCTTGGACAAGTCACTTAGCCTCAGTTCCCCATCTGTACCATGGGGGTATTGGCAGCCTTGCCGGGGCATTGTGAGGATAAATACTGCCCGTCACTATGGCAACAGGGGCCAGTTAGATACTGCTTGGAAAAGGTACTTAAGCAACAGGAAGGTTGAGAACTGTAGGTGGGCATGACAGACCCTGTGCCCTCCAGTCCTACTGGACTTCAGTGGGCTTCTGCAGCGGGGAACAGCTTGCTACACAGAGCCTCCTGGCGAAAGCACATTTAGAACCAAAGAAAGCCCTGAGGGGTGGCGTGGGCTGGAGGTGTCTCAAACCTTGCTCAACGTGGGAACGTGAACTCAGAGCAGTCCAGGTGCAGGGTTTGCTGCTGCTCTTGTTCTTTTAACTCTTCAAGGTGAGCAGGACGTGCCTGCGCAGAGATAAAGAACTAAGACGGCTAGACAGCTGCAGGAGATCCGAGTTCTGACCCTGGCTCTGCAACCTCCTTGTTCCGTGATCATGGACAAGTCACTTAACCTCTCTGTGCATCAGCTCCCCATGTATAAAATAGGGATAACAACATGCCCGTTCTCCCATCCTTTTCCTGTCTATGGTGGAAAGTCTCCAGGGTAGGAACTGGCACCTAAATATGAAAGGAAAGCATGGTAAATTTTAAGCTGCTAGCACAGTGAATGTACCCCGACAACTCTAGACATTTGCGGTATTTGGTGCCTACATTTCTGAAGCAGTTGGATGCTTTAAAGCTCTATTTGTGGGTCATCTTTAAGATGTGTCTTTGCACACAAGACACGCTGGGCTCCTTTTGAAATATAACAAAAAGACTTGGAAATGAGACATGCTAATGCTATTTAGGAATGTGAACGTCCTGCCCCCGGATTTTATGATAATGAAGAGTCCAGGCAAGCATAATACAGCAGAGGATACTGTAGATTAATACTAATCAGCAACCCACGAGCATCATTTATTAAATAAGCAAGAAATCTGCCAATGAAACAGGACTAAAAATAAAAACATACCTCTCGACTGTGCTGCGGGGAATGGCTGAGTTTCAGCCTTCAGCGAGACGATAAAGGTAAATGAATGTCAAAAGAATCGAGAACATGAGAAATGCTTAGAAGAGGTAAATGTCTGAAAGTCCAACTGTTTCCCATAAATTAATCTGTAAATGGCCATTTAAAAATCATAGAATCATAGAATATCAGATTTGGAAGGGACCTCAGCACGTCATCTAGTCCAACCCCCTGCTCAAAGCAGGACCAATCCCCAACTAAATCATCCCAGCCAGGGCTTTGTCAAGCCTGACCTTAAAAATATCTAAGGAAAGAGATTACATCACCTCCCTAGGTAACGCATTCCAGTGTTTCACCACCCTCCTATTGAAAAAGATTTTCCTAATATCCAACCTAAACCTCCCCCACTGCAACTTGAGACCATTACTCCTTGTTATGTCATCAGCTCCCACTGAGAACAGTCTAGATCCATCCTCTTTGGAACCCCCTTTCAGGTAGTTGAAAGCAGCTATCAAATCCCCCCTCATTCTTCTCTTCCGCACACTAAACAATCCCAGTTCCCTCAGCCTCTCCTCATAAGTCATGTGTTCCAGTCCCCTAATCATTTTTGTTGCCCTCCGCTGGACTCTTTCCAATTTTTCCACATCCTTCTTGTAGTGTGGGGCCCAAAACTGGACACAGTACTCCAGATGAGGCCTCACCAATGTTGAATAGAGGGGAATGATCACATCCCTCGATCTGCTGGCAATGCCTCTACATATACATCCCAAAATGCCATTGGCCTTCTTGGCAACAAGGGCACACTGTTGACTCATATCCAGCTTCTCGTCCACTGTAACCCCTAGGTCCTTTTCTGCAGAACTGCTGCCGAGCCATTTGGTCCCTAGTCTGTAGCGGTGCATGGGATTCTTCCGTCCTAAGTGCAGAACTCTGCACTTGTCCTTGTTGAACCTCATCAGATTTCTTTTGGCCCAATCCTCCAATTTGTCTAGGGCCCTCTGTATCCTATCCCTACCCTCCAGCGTATTTACCTCTCCTCCCAGTTTAGTGTCATCTGCAAACTTGCTGAGGGTGCAATCCACACCATTCTCCAGATCATTTATGAAGATACTGAACAAAACCGGCCTGAGGACCGACCCTTGGGGCACTCCACTTGATACCGGCTGCCAACTAGACACGGAGCCATTGATCACTACCCATTGAGCCCGACAATCTAGCCAACTTTCTATCCACCGTATAGTCCATTCATCCAGCCCATACTTCTTTAACTTGCTGGCAAGAATACTGTGGGAGACTGTGTCAAAACCTTTGCTAAAATCAAGGAACAACACGTCCACCGCTTTCCCCTCATCCACAGAGCCAGTTATCTCATCATAGAAGGCAATTAGATTAGTCAGGCATGACTTGCCCTTGGTGAATCCATGCTGACTGTTCCTGATCACTTTCCTCTCCTCTAAGTGCTTCAGAATTGATTCCTTGAGGACCTGCTCCATGATTTTTCCAGGGACTGAGGTGAGGCTGACTGTCCTGTAGTTCCCAGGATCCTCCTTCTTCCCTTTTTTAAAGATGGGCACTACATTAGCCTTTTTCCAGTTGTCTGGGACGTCCCCTGATCGCCATGAGTTTTCAAAGATAATGGTCAATGGCTCTGCAATCACATCAGCCAACTCCTTTAGCACTCTTGGATGCAGCGCATCCGGCCCCATGGACTTGTGCTCGTCCAGCTTTTCTAAATAGTCCCGAACCACTTCTTTCTCCACAGAGGGCTGGTCACCTCCTCCCCATGCTATGCTGCCCAGTCCAGTAGTCTGGGAGCTGACCTTGTTCGTGAAGACAGAAGCAAAAAAAGCATTGAGTACATTAGCTTTTTCCTCTGTCACTAGGTTGCCTCCCTCATTCAGTAAGGGGCCCACACTTTCCTTGACTTTCTTCTTGTTGCTAACATACCTGAAGAAACCCTTCTTGTTACTCTTAACATCTCTTGCTAGCTGCAACTCCAGGTGTGATTTGGCCTTCCTGATTTCACTCCTGCATGCCTGAGCAATCCAGGCAAGCATAATACTATTATACTCTTCCCTGGTCATTTGTCCAATCTTCCACTTCTTGTAAGCACTATAAGTGAATAGGTGAGGGCTTATAGAATCATTGGACTGGAAGGGACCTCGAGAGTCCAGTCCTCTGTAGTGTGTCATGTTTCACACCAGAGGTGGCTGCATGTTGCATATCAGTGGTGCTGTGACTGGGTGACCGGGATGGGCCACACTGAAAATGTCACACTCAGAGAAGACTGCATGAAATAGGACAGACAAATCCCCAGAGCTAGTGGTTTACTCTATACTTAGATTCTCCAAACCAGTAACAAAAGAGCTTCTGCAGCACCACACCAATTAACCAGAACCCAAACAAAGTCCCCCTTAGGCACTCCAGCCCTTGGCTCCCATCTAGGCAACCCAATCTAATATAGTGAGAGGTTATTGAAAACCTTTGTCACCAGATGTGACAAACTCCCAAAGGATCAGACACATGTCCCCAGGTTAATACGAATCTCAGATCTTACTCAAATATCATGCTCCAGTCAATCCTTAGTAAACTAACTAAAGATTTTAATAATAAAAGAAAAGAAGAGGATTATAAATGATTAACAGACCATATACATACAAATGATTGCAAAGCCAGAATAGCTTGCTGGCTTGTAAGGTGTCTCTGGTAACTTCCAAAAGACTGGAAGGTCCTCAGTCCATAGTTCAAGATGCTCCATTTTTTGTAAATCCACAGTCCAGAGGATTAGAGCAGAAAAAGAGGCAAAATGGAGATCTCTCAGGGGTC